GGGGGGGGGGGGGGGGGGGGGGGGGGGGGGGGGGGGGCTACCGGTGGTACGAGTGGTACGGTGGTATATATATATATATATATATATATCGACCCGGACAGACCCTGACAGACCCCGAGCAGACCCTGGATCCCACGGCTGTCTGATCCTTCTTAGCTCCCGTCTCACGCGTTCCCTATGACCTCGTCTCATTCTCCTTCTTGCTTGGACTCGGATTCGATCACATGTAACTCTACCTCGAATGAGACCCAGGATTCGGGGCGATTTACTCTCTTTCTCGGTCGGGGATACCTCACCGCTCAGTTTTTCTTGGAATGGTATATTCGTGAAAATGTTCCCTTTTCCGCGCTTCGTACACCACACATTGCTTCATTTTCTTAACCCTGTAACTGCCGTTCCTGATCCAATGGACCTTGATACAAAAATGCAACCATTTTGTGCAGGCTGCGCCGTGAACTTGAAGAGTCCGATGCTCAGTGTATTTTCACGAAGACGTGATAGCAATTAGGCAGAGTATATATTGAAGAGATTCATCAGGAATGAAGAGATGAAACAAAGAATTAAACGTACGACCGTCCAGGTTCTGATAGTCACAGAAGTTAAATCCACCCTTTAAATGAGAAAGCGAGCGAGCATTAAGTGCTTTGAACAGACGCCAGTAATCGCAATGCACGCTTCCTCGACGAAGCCTGTCCCTTAAATGGGCCAACTCTGGTGCGACGCGCAAATTTGTCAGTTGCAGATCGCCCTCTCGCGGAAGGGGATGGAGGCGGAGGGAGAGCCGAGGGACTCCGTCCCGCCGAATTTGGGCCGGACCACCTCCCTTGAGAAGGTCGGGAACCTTCCGGAGGATCAGTGCGTGGTCGTCGGGCTCCACAAGGGGACGCTCAAAGAGGTATGCGACGATGGAGGCTGTCGAGGCTCGTCGAGCCCGCCGGGAACTCCTTTGAAAATGTCCCGACGATCAGGGAGACGAGGAGGATCGAGAGCACGAGGACGTTCATACCGTCTTCGGCTGCGTTTCTGAGGAGGACGGAGAGAAGACCAACAAACCAGCTTCCACCGAGTTTAAATCGGTCTGCTCTCTTATACTTTCCTTATTGAGAATTGTCATTTCTCGGGCAAAGACTGGGAACAGGTTAAACGCACTGCCATCTGATTGTTGTGGAAACACTCGTTTCAGTTCAGGACTCCCTTGTGTATACCTCCGCTTGGATGCACTCTCTCACTATGACAATGAAATGGTGAAACAACAAAAAAAAGAAAATCTTCTGCTGACCAGGTCGGCAGTCTCGTATCGAGCTTGAAATTCGATGTCGTGTTCCAATCGGGTGGGGAATTGGAGAAAAGTATTTAGATGAAGTTCGCAATCATGTTCATCTCACTGTTCCTCTCACGAGTCTGCCACGCATATCAATTCACTCTCGAGCTCGTCAAGCTGAGCGATAGAGAATAAAGGCATGAGATAAGAGGGACAAGAATCCCGCTCCCGCCCGGAGTGAATTTTACTACATATTGCCGTTGATGTGCGGTAATTATGCGCAGCCTGCTGTGAGGGCAGTTTAGTGATCCCCGGAGTCGAACGGGCAAAAGCCCCGTGAATAAGCAAGTGCCCTGTGAATACTGCAGCATTCATTCCCATTGTATGAAATATGAAGTATCGTAGAGCAAGACCGGAATTTTATTGTTCTCGAAAACGAATTCCTTGCATGATCGACCTGTTTCTATGATTCGCCTCAGGAACCGAAAAATTGCCCATGTTAGGCCGTCTCTACGGGCAGAGAAATACTCGTTTAAATGAGAAACGAGACTATTTCATTACTTTCTCCACAGGATGAACTGGGCGCTGCAGGAGTGGAAGTGGAAAGAGCAGGGTTGGGCGACACAAGGGTGGAGGTGGAGGGAGGATTGAGCGGTTCAAGGGTGGAGGTGGAAGGAGGAGGATTGAGCGGTTCAAGGGTGGAGGTGGAAGGAGGAGGATTGGACGACACAAGGGTGGAGGTGGAGGGAGGAAGAGGAGCGTGGATTTGGCTCGTCTTGGATATATTAATATCGAGGTTGAGAGCAACGCTGGGGGCGTGGAAGTTTGTTCTCCCCATCTCCGGCGTCGCCCTCTACGTTAATTCCCCCTGGTACAGCAAGATAAAATATTCGTTCACGAGGGAAAATGATGGTCAGACTCGATGCAAGAACGCCATCTCGGCCATCTGTCCCAGCCACGACTCGAAGATCATCGACTCCGTGCGCCGGTTTGCTCCGGCTTTGGAGCTATACCCGAGCGTGGCTTTGAAATTCTTTTCTGAGGCCCAAAACCTGATGAGATCCATGGGTTTCAGTCTGAAAGGGATGAAACCGGAGCAACAGCCCGTGCCCTGGGTCTTCAGATGCAGTCACGCCTGGCACACCACGTCCTGCGCTTACAAGCTGGGGGATTTCTCGTGCTTCGGCTCCCCCGACTATGCCTTATTGTTCCTCTCCTGGGTCCTGATAGTGACCTTCTGCAACTACGACCTCGAGTTCCGGTGCCAGGGGATGGAGCAGAGAGTGGGAAAGGGGACCGGGCTGCTCGTCTGGGTCTTCAGCAGCGGATTCTACTCCGAGCCCAAGGTCGCCGTCCACACCCTGCCGGGTCTATTCGGGACGCTGTTCCTCGTCGTCGTCCTCGCATCGAAGCTGGTCGCAGAACCCACCTCAAAGACTGCACTGAAGATCTCTATCGCCTGCCTCCACGTCTCTGCCTGTCTTCACCCGAGGAGTCACCTCTTGGGAGATCTCATCGGGTTCCTCCTCGTCCGGGAGATCGTCCATCGGGAGAATCTCGACGACAGACTCGTCGCCCTTGTCCTTCTCGCTTCGGGAGGATACATTTACTATTTCTCGGCCAGATGAAATCTGGTCTAAAATTAAATATTTTCGTGCAATAAGTTATTATATTTTATTTTAACATAGTCTTCTATGGGACTTTCATGGACAGACTGCAATTGCGGGATTTCTTGCCAGTCGAATTTCGTTCAGACATTTTATTCATTCGGAAAATTATGATCCGAGGGTGAAGGTGAGAGCGAGCCTGCTTTCACTTGGACGGGGACGCCGACAAGGAGCTGGGGAGCGTGGTCATGGACACAGTAGTGGTCAGAGGAGGAGAGAGGTAGGAGGCGGAGTGGCCCTTCCGGATCGGCATGCACGTTTCATCCCCGAGCTCCAGACGATGAACTCTCTGCTTCAGCTTTTGGGTTGCGCTCGTGTACTCTGCGATCAGCCTCGAGAAGCGATATTGCATCACCTCCATCGATGACTCTACGACGGGGATCAACGGTTTTTGAAACTATGCTTTATGACTGGACAGAAGGTTCCACGCTAGAAATATGAGGGATTTCAATTCCTTTCACTCTATTCAGTATCATCTTCCTGAAGGGAAAGAGTCTTCATCTAAATAGATCCGCATTCCAATTATCGCCGATTTCGCCATGAGGGGCGAAGAGGAAACTTAACTTAAATATGACCTTGGGAAATAACTAATAAGACTAAACATGAAGAAGGAAACCTAGAGAAGCAAGTTTTCTTTTTTTTCCTAGGATCCCTGAACAAGAAAGATGAGGACTAACCGAGTTTTTTAATTTTTCTCTCAAGAGCCTCCTGCTCCTCCTCGGCATGCTTGGAAGCATCGAGGTCGAGGAGGTTGTCCTTGAGGAGGATCTGTCTGCCGGCCTCGAGGAGAGTCCTCTTTGCGTCGGGATACTCCTCGAGGACGTCCCAGAGGTCGTCCTTGCTCAGGCAGAAGAGGTCGGAATAGCCCTCGCTCCGGACGTTTGCAGTTCGCCGGTTCCCTGTCTTGTTCCCGGGGATGTTCAGGATGCTCAGCTGGAATCAGACACCGACTTAGCATTCTATGCTCTCGTGGGCACGAATCTGAGGTGTAGTGATTCTCATATACAGTACGAGAGCCCACTAAGAGAACCACATTCTAAGAATCTCGAGAAAGAGATACCTCTCCGAAGACGCTTCCGTCGCTGAGTGTTGCGTAAATGGTGATGGCGTCATCTGCGACGACGTTCAGCTTCCCTCTCTTCACGATGTACATCTCCTTCCCGATGTCACCCTTTTTGCAGATGTAATCCCCCGGGCTAAATACCTTTGAGTTTAGATGAGAAATGCATAATGCACGGACTGAAACGCAACAACAACGGCATGAAAGAACATACTCTCAATTTAAGCCTTGCATGTTGATTGTTATGTGTTATACACCCTCGAGCTTTCGGCGAAAATAAACGCTAAGAGACGTTCCCAAATAATTGAAGTAAAATTGAAAACTATTCCCCCTCCATCCCAGGGGTATATGGAGTTCAAATTTGGTATGTGAGCAAATCATTCCTTATGCCAACAGGTGATGGTGATGATCGCCGAAACGAGAGAAGTAGTGGTTCCAGCGTTTGTCATGATCTTCCGACTCTTACAAGATGTTTCATGAAATGTTTCAAATTTCACCGTTCAGTCGGGAAAGAAAAGAAGTCGTGAGGCGATGCTGAAACGACGGGAGCACTTTCAGAGTCCAGAAACCTCTCGTTGCACAGATTAGTGTTCCAGATTTCGTAAACTCGAAGGTTGCTATGATGCTGCTATGACAAGTGTCAGCTGGATGTAATCCAATCAGCTGCTCGTGTCTGATGTTATTCCGTGATAAATGGTTTTGAATAAATTCCAGAACATGCCAGAAATTTCCCATCCCTAGAGCTCTCTTTACCATCGTAGGGTATATATCTCGTACTTGGGATTGGTATTGTAATCAAATAATTGATCATCTGTGAACTTCGTGCATTAGAGGATTGCTGGCGATCATCGTACTGGGGGATAATGTGAGCCAAAAAAAAAGCTTATTTGAGCACGACCGATCCACCAGTTTGCCAAAGCCTCCCAATGTTGCTGCGCGTGTCCCATCCTCAAACACGAATAACATCGACCGGGGTGCAAAACCTGAAGTTTGAGCCGAAGAACGAGTTCCTTGAGCAGGCCCGGCTCCGCGTTCTCGAAGATCTTCACCCTCTTCAAGGTGTCCAGGTGGACGTGGATGGCGATCTCCGCCTTGAGCTTGTCCGGCAGGGTCCCCAGCACCTTCTCCTCGTCCAGGCTCTGCTTGTTCATCCAGAGGTAATCGAACCAGCGGATGACCCGGGCCTGGAGGTCCTTGGACACGTGGCGGAACTCCATGTACTGCTTGATGCCGTCGATCCGGTTCTGGAACTCGGCACGGACCGCGTTCATGTTGCTGGGAAGGAAAGCGTTTTCGAGGGATCAGTGCTGGTTCAAATCTTCCTGGTGCTTTTCGTGGCGGGGTACTGATGCACCCTGAGATATCATATTATGTTCCCCCCCCCCCCCCCCCCCAATTTTCACTGGAAAGGAGCCCCGATGAAGAAAGGGGAAGAGGGATATAGGGGCTCTACTATACTGTATATCTCTATAGCCTGAGTCCACTTTCTCTTCTCGGGGTCACATTTCACCAATGAGTTCTGCAATGGCAGATAAGTAGTGTTCCCGGGTTGGAGACTTTTTCCCAGTTCGTGATTTTTGCTCCATCCTTGAGCTCTCCATCGAACTGATCCCGATGGAACGAGAGGTGCATTTCACGCCTCATCTTCCGGAGTCACGCTCAACCCTCACATTGCCATGGAACACGACGCAAAAACAATCAAGACGTCTCCCCCCTACCTGATCATAGACCCAACGTTGCCGACGATCGTAGCGAAGATGAGGACACCGATGAGAAAGTCGACTATGACGAACAGAAACTCCTCGTCCTTGACCGGCTGCGGCGTCTCCCCGATCGTCGTCAGCGTCAACGTCGACCAATAAAAGCTATAAATATACTGATGGGCGAGCCTCACCACCGGGATCTCCGACCCCGGCCCCTCCACCTCGTGATACACCCACTGGTCCGTCCCGAACCCGATGGAATACGAAATGGCGAAGTAGAGGCACGCATTCCAGTGGATGATCACCAGGATGTACAGGATAACCTGTGACCGAAAGCAAATTCCATTACTTAAGCAGTCTTGATCCGCGTGATTTCAAGGTTTGATTATTGGAGCCCATTTTTAGCCAGATCGCTGTTTACGCGTGAGTTGGCCTGGCTGGAGAAAGTTAATGAACCTGAATCTTTCTTTAGACTCCGGCTAACCAACCCTCCCAAAAAAATACCCACCAGGAATAAAAGTGAACCTCCTGTGTTATTAGTTTTTTTTTAAACTTCGCATAATCCATGGATGTGATAAAACGGCAGGCTCAGTCGGAACAAGTCGAATCCAGTCCACGACGAACCTTCCCGATGCGAAAAGTGTTCGGAAAATTGGTCCTGGTCTCGGTCCGATCGAAGAACTCTATGAGCCTCGGGAACTTGAAAAGCCGATTGACCCTGAGGACGACGGGGCACGGAACCCTCTCCTCGCACTCCGTCCCCATCGCCAGATAGAACAAGTCGGTCGGAAGGATGCTGCACGCGTCCAGCAGGAAGACGGAGGAGCGAACGTAGTTCCGCCTCAGCTTCTTCCCGTCCCTCACCATGATCCCTTGCTCCAGGTATCCTGTAGACGCCGCTCGTCAGTCCAAATCGGAGATGGTATTTCAAACAAAGGTATTGCTGCAGATTTAAGCATTTTTAATGGTACTTTGAATTTTCATTCGGCATAGTAGTGAATATTGGACGCGTAATACGTCTCTTTGAAATATTTCAAATCCTGCTTACGTAATAATGTACAAGCTAAATATAATTAGTCTATTTTCTCATTTTCGTGTAATTGCACATCGCGCAATTGCAGACTACGGCCGCAGACAGCACTAACTGCGTCGTCAGCGCAATTTGTTTTACTAACCCAGTTTAAGATCCCAGCTGGAAATTTCAAACTGGGAACCATTACGCTCATGCAAATCATCGTTTACGGTCTTTGGACGATCCCATCCAGCTGCTGGAGCACCAGTGCAACGCTTTGTTCAGCCTTGGGAGCAAGACATTGGTTCTTGTGCGATGAGATATTTTGAAAAATCATGTAAGCAACCGTTAGTGTTGGAGGTACATTGTCTTCTCCAACATGAATGACTGATTTCACTTCGAAAGCAGCATCATGTATATGGACCAAATTATATAAGTTACATATTTCCTTAGATATTATGACATCAATGCTGAATTACTTTCAATAGTAAGATTTTTAAAAATCCTGCAACTATGCATTTCCAAATTTGCTCTTAACTATCAATAATGCGCATGAATCGAAATAAACAAAAAATGTCAATGCACAATAATTTCACTTTCTAACCCTTTCAAGACCATAAGCATTGTGGGACAGCGACCTTAACTTTAATGACGTGTTTAGGGTGAAAATGACGTGTAGATTCCAAAAAACTTTGTTTGGAGGAAAAGTCCATGACATACTGATTCCTTATTCGCAAAAAGCATCGCCCTAGACTAATTCATTCAAATTTGGGAGGATTTTGAAAATATGGGACAAATAGGTCCCTTGGTCCTGAAAGGGCTAAGCACCGTTCCATTTATCTTTATTCAGTCGCATACTCGGATTCCCAGAGACCGAGAACCGACCACCCACCTTCTTTGGAGCGTATGTACATGTCAAAGAGATAGACGAAGTCGGAGATGTAGTCGAGGGAGAACCAGACGGCAGGCGAGAGGTTCCCCAGCTCCCAGAAGACGGACCGGCCGACGATGAAGATCCAGTTGTAGACGGCGGCCGTCGAGATCACCACCAGCCACTGGAGGGGAAGGGGAGTCGGAGGGGTGTCGGAGGGGTGTCGTTGGAAGGAGTGTCGCGGGGCAGTGCCCGATGCGATGGGATCGGTTAGGATCCGGTGTAAAATAAGTGAAAAATAAAAAATAAATATTGCACGAAACTCTGAAGCATCTCGATTTGACACGGTCCAGGGATCATATCACTGCCGCAGGTTATTTTTTTTTTCACTTAATTTCCTTAACTGGCAGAATACATGGTACATGCTCCCGTGTGAATCGGCATTCGTACAATCTATCCAAAAAGCATGCCGTCTCGAGATGCTCCAGGCGTCACGTAAGAAAGGAAAGTTTGTCTATTTCACCCCGGTTTGTAATTACTGGGCAGTAGAGAAGAGACTGATTCCATGTACTTTTTTTTTAAACGAGAAGCAGAATTTGGGTTCGATGGTCCATCGGCAAAAAACCAAAATATTCGTGAAAATCAGGATGAAAATGAGCATTTGTCGAAATCGGCGAATCTCAACCGAATCTCGCCCGACAGAAGACAGAATTTACGGCATAGTGGAATGTGGAGGCGGTGTCGACGACGGGCTGGGCCCACCAGTGGGCCAGCCCCGAGATCTTCCCCGAGTCCACGGGGGCGTCCACGAATTTCTCCAGGAACGAGTCCGCCTCCTTCGCCTCCGCCTCGAGGTGGTCGTGGGCCTCCTCGTTCCACCGCAGGAGCCTCCTCACGATCTGGACGCGGAGAGGGAACGGGTCGGATCGGGTCAGGACGGGTCAGATGCGAGACGGATCGAGGGATTCTTGGTTTTTTTCTGTCTCGGGAGCACGTATTGCGAGGCAGAATGCGACTAAATCTCCAATATCTCAAGGTTTCTCGAGCTCCAATCGCGAACGTGAATGCAGACATACTTGACAAACAAATAGGACTTTCGTCTTCGTTGAGCGATGATAGCGTTGCAGGAAATAAACGGTGCAGGTGATGAACCTGCTGTGAACCAGTCCCTTACAGAATGGGAAAACCTCCCGATAAAATCCCCCATAAGCAGGCATTATATCACAAAAAAAGAACGTATAAATCCCCCGGAACAGGCCGAGAACGTCCCGTCTCTCATAATTTCCCTTCATTTCCGTTCGATCGGACTCGATCTGACCCTGCAGTCCTCGGTCACGAATCAAGGCTTAAGGAAGGGGCATTTCTGACCGCATTAGCATCATTAGGTCGAGCGCTCCTTTCCTAGTACTACTCCTCTGAGGATAAATATTTATATGTATACCATTTATATTTACCTCGATCCACGGTCTAGTTAGCAGCCGAAAGCGAGTTCGAGCGCCCTCTCCGTCCCGGTCGATCTGCACTGGACTCCTCTTCGCTCGATCCCTTGGCTGCAGGTGCATGCATGGGAAATGCGACCGTTAATAACGTTAATAACGCGTTTTGAAGGTGTCGAGAAATTAGAATTTAAAGTGAAAAAGTTCGGAGATCTGTTGAGAGAATCGATCCCATCCACACATCTCGGAATTCGAGTACCTCGAGTACTCACAGTACTTACAGCGAGCACCCATCGCCAAGATGCGGACTGAGCTCGTTCTCGGCGAAACGGAGACCAGTCGCGGATTCGAAAAAATCGTCGGCAGCAGGATCGAGAGGGAATTCCCTCATTAACGGACTTCTATGAGAAACCAGAATCGATCAAGTTCGTATGTCGTACCGAAATCGACACAGACGTAAAAAATTTTTTAAAATTTGGCACCCAAGCGAAGGAATTTTTCAGGGTGCAACGCGAAAAGTCCTGCCAATTGGCCATCAATCGGCACCGATGTACGGGATGGCAAGGAATCGGCACTCGGGCATGAAATCGCACCTTCGCGAAGCAGAAGAGAAACTCCAAAGCGAATTTCCTATCTTTCCGAGCAAACATCGGAAATTGGAAGCGATCCAATCACGCGAGAAGTTTGGAGTGCACTCCAGTTTTCATTTCGTTTTTTTTTTTTTTTTCGACGAAACGAGATGGAGTCGATGAGGGCTCGCGCCGAGTTTCCGTTACATTTCGAGTGGGAATTTTTTTTTTTTTGCCTTGAGAAAGATTTCGGGGGGAGGAACGGTTTTTCGCTGCCTGACTGGGGGAAATTTAACGTTAAATGTTTGTAAACAGAAAGTGGAATATGTAAATGGGAAGCGATGGCGACCTCAATGACCCCGCAGGAAATGCGAAGAGCACCGAAACGACACGAATTCGAGTGGCGAATTTGAACGCCTTTTTTTTAATATTTGATTCCGCATTTTCGTTCGGGATTCCCGACCCTTTTATGTTCGCGGGCCGGCTTCGCCATCGCGAAATTGCGAAACGAGACGGCGGGGAGTGCAATGGCTTCCGAAGGCCATCGAGCGAATTTTCCCGCCGCGGAAAATAATCCACTCGATAACGACGCTCGCGAAAAAATTCCTCAAGGCGTCAGGAAGAAGTTCGCGGCATTGCCGACCCGCGACCCTCGCCGAGACCGGAAAATCGCAGCGGAATTTCGCCAGTCCGACCTCGCTCATCACGAACGAGCTTGAAGATGACACAGAGAAACGAGAACGATCGATTGCTGGAATTCCCCCAAGAGACGAAAAGGATTTCCCGGATGAGACGGGAGACACGAAATGCACGCGACGAAAAAGAGCCCCCTCCCCCTTGCCCCCTCCCCCCTTGCCCCCCCGCTTCACCCGACGATCGACCGCGAAACTCGTCATTTCCATAACGGAAAGGTTAAAGAAACGATCTCATCGCGAAATGGCCAGTTTTCGAGGCGTCAAATGAATCGGAACGATCGCGGCGATCGCACGAGAAAGGCTTTCGTCCCGCCCTGGACGGAAAATGATTCGTGACCGTCGTAATCGCGATGATGGTAACGATGATGGTGCGCCGTCGTGACGATGAGCCGGGTTCTTCGACCCCCGTGCTCTTCTCTCTCGCGCTCGGTGTCGGCCGATTTCCGATTCCACGTCGGTATTTTCGCGAAAAGTTTATTTCGCGATCGGTATCCTTATCCTTCAGCTGGAGTGCCAAATTCCGCGATTTCCTTCCGCTATTTCCATCTCTCACTTTCGTTCGTGCTAAGCCTGCAGTGCTAGAAAAGCAGGACTGAATGAATGAAGCGAAAAGTAAAGGTCCCGAGAATGAATCAAGGCCAAGAACGGATCGCGAATTTTTCCTCCTTCAAATCTGTCTCATTCACATTTGAGGCTTTTCTCTTCGAAAAAAGCGAGAACTCACCCCGACGAGGCGAAAGAGATTGCCGGTCGGCACCCGAACGTTTGCGTCCCCGTTCTCGCCCATGACGCCGGAAAACCACCTTCGTGAGTGGACCGCCTTCGAGTTCTCAGCAGCCCAACCGCCGAATGTGGATCGCGTCGCCGCGGGAAAGCGGATGAGCCCGCAGCCCGGATCCCCACCGTTGCATCACGTCGCCCTCATCCCCTTCCGACGTGGAAGTCCGAGTGCGAATGTGGAGGATTTCCCGGTGAAGGGCGGAGAATCGGGGGGGAGGGGAGGGGGAGGGGAGGGGGGGGGAGGCCTGATCGATGGACGACGATGAATACGTAAAGCCGCAGTCGGTTAAGTCTTCCATGACGTGCCGAGCACGATATCCGTATTGGTTCTCATCATCACTCTTCCTTCTTCTCTTCTTATTCTCCTCTCGTCTCCTCCATCTGGGCTCGTCCTCGTTTGTCTCGTCTGGACTCGAGGATGGACTCGAGTGAAATTGAAAGCGAGTGAAATCGGGATGTGGGACTCGAGGCGAGGGCGATCCGGTCGGTCGAAAATGCCATGAAATTGTGGGGAAACTTGCGGCGAGGTGGAAATGTGAGAGTTGAGAGGAGATCGTTCATATCCAGAGTGCGAGATCATCTGCACGATTCCATTTATAATGCAGTAAAACCTGTCTGAAACGGAAATTCATTGGGCCACGGAAATATTCAGGCTTGACGGGTTTCCGACTCGTCCAGGCGCCGCATTAGGCAGAATATTGTCTAAATAAATAAATAGGGGGAATACGGCCTAAAAAGTGAAACTCGGTCTTAACGGCCCCGTCAAATTTGACTTCGCCAATATTTATAAAATATAGATTGATATTCCTTTACTCAATCCCAGAAAGGCACTTGTAAAAAAAAAAAGCACACGGATCTTGCGCATTTGGATCCTTTCGAAGTTGGTCCCAAGAGGCCATCTTACCCCTTTTGCTGGGGAAATAAGCCTAGGCATTAGGGAGAATATGGCCACTTTTCAAAGACGACCTAAAGTTGTTAAGATACGTAAGAAATATGCTTGAACATGCGAAGTACCTTGAAGCGAACAGACGCGGCTAAGCAGTTGAAAAATACATAACTAATTGCATGATCATTATCCGGGCATTACATTCGGGCACCCGTTTCACAGTCCCCCATATTTCGGGATGAATGCGCCAATTAGCACGATAACGGGGGATCCCGAGTCCGATCGGATCGTGTGAGGACGACGAGGAAGGAAAGAAACGCAAAGGCGTCTGGGATTTAAGTTCTCTCGCAGTTCTCTTCTTCGTCGTGAAAGAATTGTAGAATCGCATGAAAACGCATAGAAGAAATTCAAATAATTAGGAATCTTATGTTTCATATCGTCTCGCTTAGAGCTTTCTCTCCCCTCTCGTCGTCGCGCCCTTTCTGAGGCTTGCCGGTTCGGAGCCCGAAGAGAGAAAATTACCCGATGGTAATCGGAGTCCATTTGGTGACTTGGCATCGAACGCAGGCTTTTCCGTGCTGATTCTTGAACGGCTGGTCGAGACCCGAGATGTGAGGGGGACGTCGCTACCTTCGGGTGGAGTCCGTGTCATTAAAAGCGGAAAGGTCGAGGGGTGGGGTGGGGGTCTTCACCTGTTTGCAGAAAATTCATCGAGATATAGATATTATATTCATAGACGTCATCCGCATCGATCGGTCAAGAAGGGAAATGGCGACGCTGTCTGCTCTTTTTAGTACAGTCCAAAAGCCCGTAGGTAGTAAACTGCTTTTAATCTCTCTACTGTAGGTTATTAAATCAACACCGACGGATGACACGTTCAACCTGTTCAATATTGTCCTTTAAACACAGCCTGTCTCGTGGTCTTGAATTCTTACACCAACTGCTGCAAAGTCTTCTTTGTGGAAATATTTTTATTTTCGAACTGCCGAAATTTTTATCGGAGAATTTTTATCATCCTTGTAACCATAGCAACCGGACAACACGACCCAATGCGCACGCGCAGCTTTCCGTCTGGGTCGGGGTGTCCGTCTTCCACGAAAACATCCACAGCCTTCCCAGCCCTGGCGGTTGACGGATCCATAGTAGACAATTGAAGGAGAGCGGCCGCGTAGACAGGGTAGGCAATCGCGTGAGATGCCGTATCTGGCATCCTACACTTCATACTGTCCTCCCATCTCCACGCGACGCGGGGACCACTGAGAACGTCTAGTTATCCAGGCCTTTTTATATAGGCCAACGCTGAACCGATGACAGCTATTATTTAGCTCAAGGTTGAATGGTTAGGATGCGGTGAATATAAACAATAATTCCAGTGGTACAGGGGCCAGTGGAATGGCAGATTTGTACCTGGGCTGGTACTCTCTAGCTTTATTTATTTATTTAAATATTCATGTAACAAATGCTGATGTCGTATGTCCGTCGCATTTCCGCCTCGCATTTTCGGAATCCACTTCTCACTGCGCTGGAAGTGAAATGTTATCTGCATGTCATTGAAATCCGCTTTGAGAGGAGGCCCATCATGTTGTGGAGATAACACGTTTCTCCTCCTCGTTTAAGGCATCTGCGAATGCGTCTCGCATCGTTCCAAGCTACTCACAAAAAATGGGCTGTACAGAGGAGCTTAATCGACACTAATTTCTGGATTGCTAGTTCCTCACAGGTAGTGGCTTAGCTAGGGGGGGCTGAAGCCCCCCCAACTCTGGTCGGATTGCAGTGTTGGATCGGGGCCATAGACCACGTCAACGAGAGTTAGCTTGGCAAGTGGAAGAGACCGGAACTGAATACTTACCTTTCATAACAGACAAGCAACAAATAATAAAAACCCTCCGAAGGAGACCACCGAGCTGAGAATGGGAGAGACTCAAAAGGGACGAAAAGTCCTGTGCCTCGCCTCAAGTTTCTGGTAGACGTCGGGGAAGAGAAACGGCGGAGAGGACCAGGGCTCTCTTCACGGCTGCCAGGGCCAGAATGGAGAAGGACGATCTGTCGAGTACCAAATAGTGCTGCCTCACGAATAGCCGCTGAGAAGTGTCACCACGTATGCCGTCGCGAATGCCTCGGAAAATGCTGCCCGAGTACCTCACGGGCATGCTCGAGAATGCCCCCGAAATGGCGAAACCTCCACTATTTAAAGGGAGGAACCAGGCAAGACCGGTCGGAGAAAGTGGTCCTCCAGCCCAAGGTGAGGGCGCTGGGTACATGCCCCGTGGAGAGGGCGAAACTGGCCAAAGGGGTCAAAAAAGCCCTAGGAGTACACGACACTAATAGATTTGCATCGTCTTGGTGCTTCTAATGGTCTCCAGAGCTGATATAGCACTGGAAATACTGAAATATACATTTCCGGAAGTATTGAAGAAAATCTCAACTAACTCGGCTCGTCGATTGTCTATACTGAGGTACTTGCGACCTCAAAAAGAAGTACATCTAAGACGAAATAAGTTTATCGGCACCTCTTTCGTCAAAATCATATCCGTAGAAATTGCTGCGAGGACTGGAAGTGATATTTATCAATTGTTTCAGTGGGGTCGGGAATGAGAACGAGAAATATAGTCGTCTTTTAGTGCATTAAGTCCGGGACCGGCCCGAGTTTTCGCCTTCCAAAAGGCGCAAGTGAGACTATTCGATCGATATCTCATTTGTCAGAATCGGTTCCATCGCTTTTGCTCTAGGATGGACCCGGTCGGCAGAAGAAGCAGACCATCGACCGCGTGCTCTCACGAATCCGAAAGTACTGGACTGTTATGGATGGAACTCGATGGGTTCAGAGATATTGGGGAAGAAAGGTTGCGAATGGATTCTGAAACCACGCGTGAGCGTGAAGATGGGAACGGGAGTCGCACGACTCCTATCGTCGTTCCTTATATGAATGTCTTCCCGCCATTCGCAAGCGAAGGCCAAGCGAGTAGATATCCTTGCTCCATATGCCAGTTTGCTTGAAGACGTGAAACGAATAAACCGACCGTCGGCACACTCCCTCTCGGATCATCTGCTTGGTCGCGCCATGGGGCGCATTCCCATGGAAACACTTCAGCTTCTGGTTTCCCTATCCTTCTATTTTAAATACCAGCTCTTTGGGATACCAAATCCGAAGTGACAACCCCTTCCCCTGAGAAACGACACCATTCTCTGGTCCATGGTCTCCAGGTTCAAACTTGAAAGAGCCACCGACAACGTGACGTCATCTGAAGTTTGCCGTGCTGCGTTATCGATGAGTCGTCCGTTTCCAACAGTCGATTAAGCGTCGGTTAAAGGTCAGCACGCTCCCAACAGTCGATTAAGCGTTGGTTAAAGGTCAGCACGCTCCCAATCGACGATTGAACGCCCGAAGCCGGTGTCTCCTGTTATGTGTGGTTTCCTGAATTTCGAAGAAGTTCTCTGGTCCGAGCCCAAGACATACCTCCTGCTTCTCAGTCCGACATCAGCAAACGTCTATGGTTTTTCGATGGAGCCGTACTTCTTCGACACGACAGAGCACTTTATCAGAGTGCATTTCATCACCTCGAGCGATAAATGTGCTTGTTACTTGTACTTGTCACGGCCAGAAAAGTGCCACAAGTGCCTATTACTGACGTGCCTCGGAACTTAAACGAAGCAGACGCATGCAAAGATGACCTGCGTCATGACCACGAACATCTCAATGCATTTAGCCGTATCATGAGTGCATTCTGCATTCTGTGCAACGACCCGACATGGGTCGTGTCGTGACCTTGTCCCAATCAAACGACAGTGATAACCGAGTGGCACTGTATGGCGACTACTCGTGTCGACCGCGACGACATGCCACGAAGCGACCGAGCGAGACGACCCAAGAAGCGAAGACGACTCGGAACCTTCTTCCTCTGGCATCCAGGAAAGAAGACGACACACCGAATCGACGAGACGAGTGCCTCCTCCTTCAGAAGATAACCCCCCCCCCCCCCACTCCATCTCGACGAACTCGCGATAAGATTGTCGCGTTGCGTAAAAAACCTCCCTGCGTCCCCTGCCCCGCCACAGACACAGCGAAGATGGAGGAATCCGCGCGACTGTCGGCGGTGGACTACGTCGTGTTCGTCGCCCTCCTCGCCGCCTCCCTCCTCATCGGCCTCGTCCACGCCATCTACAGCAAGCGGAAGTCCGCCCGGGACCTCCTGGTCGCCTCCAAAGGGGAGCTGGGCGTCTTCTCCATCGGACTCTCCATCTCCGCCAGCTATCTCTCCGCCGTCACCATCTTGGGTTCGATCCTCGATCGCATCAGCGAGTTTGTGTTATCGCCGTGAAGTGGAGAAGTGGGGGGGGGGGATTTTGGGCTTTTTCGGTAGTTTTCTAGGATTGCGCGACGATGACATCACGGTTCAGACTCCTTCCCTTCTGAAGAATGCGGCATAAAAGAGCGCGAGAGAAGTCTCATTTCCCGCCTACAATCCCCTTCACGGTAACGAAAGCGCGATATTCGAAGATCCAACGGGTGATAATGCGTTCCTGCGGCTGGGGAAAAATCGGATTTTCTCAGGAAAGCATGTGGCAGATAGGCCTATTCAGTTTGAAATTTCCATCGAAAATAATCTGCAAAGTATTGCTGATTCAAGCTGGTATCCCTAGCGAAAATCTCCAATCGGATTCGTGAGCCAAAACATTTCTATCGAAACCGACGGACTCACGCTTCTTCTAGAAATTCCTCTTTTCCAGCTCACGACAGAATATGCCATCGCGACGCTCTTTCTTTCTCGGGAGTGCCAATTACTAGACAAATATTTGCAGTGTTACTCTCTGTGCTCTAATTTTGTTTCCTGCGACGATCGATCCGTTGAACGCCGCGCGTGAATCGCTCCTCGTTCAGGGACCCCGTCCGAGGTCTACACTTACGGCGTGGAATACTGGCAGGGGATGCTGGGGATCCCGATCGCCGCGATCTGCGCCTCGTACCTCTTCATGCCCATCTTTTACCCCCTCAAGATCACCAGCATCTACGAGGTTCGTCGCCGTTTCCGTCGGCCTTCGGAAGAGAGATCGCGAATTTCGACTTCGCCCTCTGGGATGGATCGATTTCCGCGGAATCTCGGAAACGACGAGGGGTGAAAATTCGGTCCGGGCAGGCAGTGACCGGGGCAAATAAATAAATAACTAGTTGGAGGAAAAGTGTTCATTGGTCGAGGTAATACGAATTGTACAGCTGGTTTTTTCTACAATTAACTGTTCCAAAATCGATCTGAAACTAAAGAAAATTGGACCATAAAATTGTTTTTGACGGAAGTCACGAGTCAAAGAAGGGCGAATAAAAATTTAATCTGAAAACGGTAAAGTCAGGATAAATGTTATCGAGAGACTGCACGAGCAGAGAAATCTCTCTCGGCAGTTCAGGCTGGTCGCACGCTCGCCTGCTTTGCCTGTGCCCCTCCGTCTCCTCTCGTCCCCGACGGGAGGCAGACACCACCGGAAGGCCGAGCGCGGGAAGATCTCGTTTCGATCTGCTTCGTTTCGGTCAGTACCTGGAGCTTCGATACCGAGGGAAGGCGGTGCGGGTGATGGGCTGCGTCTCCTTCATGATCACGGAGACGCTGTCGCTGGGGATCGCGACGTACGCGCCGGCCCTGGCCATCAGCGCGGTGACGGGGATGCCCGAGTATGCCTCCATCCTTCTCTCCTTCGCCGTCTGCATCCTCTACACTTCCATCGTATGTTTGTTCTCTCTCGACGGTCGTCTTCTCTCGAGGCTGGGGATGCCGCTCGACTTGCTATTACTGTTCTGACCGACATCATCCGACTACTATATCTGAGCTAATTTTTAAAACTAAGTTTTTATCTAAATCTGAGTAGGGATGGGTTTAAAATTTTCTTGCACCTATGCAATTGAAGATAGCAAATGAATTTTCCCCACCCTCATAAAAAAAAATCCCCCCCGTGCATTGTCGTGACATGGGTTGGGTATCTTGAGCCTGATGCTCTTTTCTCTTTGCAATGCGAACAGCAAAAAATCAGCCTTTCAAAGGTTTTCACATGTATTTTCATCAGTTAAGTTGATATGACAGCGACAGCTACGGCCTGAAATGGTTGATGACTTCGGTGCTCTCTCCCCCGGCCTCGAACCCCTTCAACCCAACCCATTCACTTCCCACCCCTGCCATAATCCTAGTCGCGACGCAAAGCGAACCCACGACGACCTCCCTCCCAACCGGTGCTCACCCCCGCACGTCTTGCAGGGAGGCCTCCGGACGGTGGTGTGGACGGACGTCCTCCAGTCCGTGTTCATGTTCGTGGGACTCTTGTGCGTGATCATCATCGGGGCAGACCACGCCGGGGGAATGTCTCGAGTCTGGGGCAAGGCCGAAGAAAGCGGCAGAATCAACTTCTTAGAGTAATCCTTTCTTCCGCTTTCAACAAGGTCTTATACTGTACGAGACCTACCATCCCATCCCATACCTTTTGAAAGAATTCTCATTTTGGAAGACCAAAGAGACGTGCAACCACGATGTAACCGAGTGCGAATGGGATGCCGATCATCCTGTCGTGAAAAAAAAATAACAAAAAAAAAAAACAAAGTAGACGTGCTAAGCGTTCAGACCTTCCATCTCGATGATTCAATCAGTTCGACCATCAGGGTCAGAGTCTTGAGTACGACAGTAATTTCGAGAAATTCCTGCTCTCTAGCCAGAGGAAAGGGAGTCCTGTTTAGTCTTGCAGCTACCGAAATGGGTCTGGCACCAAACTACCTGCATGGTGTATGAATATCTTCAGATTCACTTTCGTAGAGACATAAATCCGAAAAAAAGAGCATGGACCAAGAGTAGGGTTGAAGAAGTTAGGATCGAATGAGGAAATTAGCCCACCTTCATTTCCGCATTCGTTGTGGGTGACAACCACGCGCAACAAGCGTGGTTCACTTTTTCCTTTCGTAGTTTCTCATCTCCCCAATATTCTTACGAAGACCTTTTTCGTGTCACCGTTTTGTAATTTTTTGGGCAGCGTGACCCAATCCTCGATGTCGAACTCTTCACCCATGGATTGCTTTTTATGGCATCACGTCGGTATGTTAGTCCCCTCGATAACGTTTGCGAAAATGAAGGCATTCCCCTTCGGTCCCTGACTTCTGAACCGCCCTGCTCGCTCCTCTTTCAAAAGGTATATGACGAACGAAATCGTCGATGAAGAGAGGAGACGCCGGCACGAGAGGTATGCCGTCGATATAGATTCCGTTTTCCCTTCTGCTGGGCCCTTACAGCTTCGGAGCGGACCCGTTCCAGCGCCAGAACGTCTGGAGCCTCGTGTCGAACTTCGTGATCCTCTGGACGGCCGCCCTGGGATGCAGACAGGCCTCCCTGCAGCGACACTGGAGCTCCCCGACGCTCTCCAGGGCTCGAATGTTCGTGGTCCTTCTCGGTTTTCGGGGTCTTCTGGGTGATTCGACGATTCCAGTCTTCGGGAACTGATTTTTCGATATAGGAACTGTATGGGGTTCTTCAACTTTAGACGCGTAGAAACACTTTACCAAAGGGGTAGATAGAACGAAACGTACCGACAACTTTCCGCGTTCCTTTTTCATGAATTTTCTCTATTTCATAAAACCCGGTTTTTTCTTCTCGATCTTTCCTCGAGAGAGGAAAGCAGACATAAAAAACGATAAGCCAAATCTGCGACTAGCCCAAATCTGACGTCTTCAATGATTACCTAGAACAAAAATTTTATTGTGGTATTTTCAAAACGGAAAGTACAGAACTGCAAGAAAAAAGCCTGCTTTAAAATATTTAGGGAATTATAGGCATGTAATCAAAGAAAGGATCGAGAAGCACCAAGAGCGATTGCACTTGCCCCGAGTGTTCAGGAATTAATGGGACGACGGGCGTGACCTCGACCTCGACCTTTTTGCAGGGCGTGACCTCGACCTCGACCTTTTTGCAGGGCGGTGTACCTGAGTCTCCCCGGAACCCTGCTGATCATCTCCTGCGCCTGCCTGGCGGGCCTGGTCGTCTACGGCAATTACGCGGACTGCGACCCGAAGACGAACGGAGACATCGAGAAGATCGACGAGATCGTGCCCTACTTCATTCTTCAGCACATGGGGGATCTGAAGGGACTTCCGGGGCTCTTCGTCGCTTCTCTCTTCGGGGGTGCTCTCAGGTGCGAAGGGACTTTTTTCCTGCAAATGGAACTAAATGTGACGTTTCTTGGAGCGTGAGAAATGCACCGCTCGACATTCGAAGTGGATCGTTGTCATAAGTATAAACGTTATATTTGTTCGGTAAAATCATGGATTCCACGCATCTTGGATAACTTGTTTACGGTCGAGCGAGTCTCCAAACGATCGGGTGGAAAGTGGCTCTGGAATACGTGGACTCATTATGTGTCATACTTTATCATCTTGATCGCTTTCTACGGAATCGACAGCGATCCACTTCAAATGTTGAGTGGTTTATCTCATTTTGCTGCGACAACATTCATTCAATGATCTTGCTCGACCGTTACCGAATCGGAAGAGCGAGATACCGAGAATATCGAACCGTCGCGAGTAAGAAAGACGTTTAAAGGGGAAAAGAGGCCAATGGTCGGTATTTTCTACCTGGTGGTAGGTAATCGAGAACTCGATTAGGGATTAGGGATAAGTACGATCGGCCTCCACTAATCTTCTTCTCAGAAAAATCGAATGCACTATCGTCCCGTTTTCTTCACGACACTAGATAACATTGCACGACACTCTCAGACGAGAAAGAAAATTCTAGACCTCCGCTCTGGGTTAAACAGATGGAAAAGGAGAGAGAATAAGATTTATTCGACTGTGGGCAGCAAAAGACGACACGTTCTCGGCACAAGACCGAGATGACTCGTGAGCATCGTCGACCGATGCGGACTGAACTCGAGGAGGAAAACTGTCAAGAGAAGAGAGACATAATTCGAAAATTAGTAGTAAAGTCAAGTATTGGTCATCCGTTCTTGAGGGGACGGGGAGGACTGCAGAACGGGTGACGTCATTTATCACGTCATCAACAGTTCTAAAGCGGGTGTGAAAGGCGCCTAAGACGTGTCCGAGCTCGTCCAGTCGTTCTCTCAGGAACGTGATCGCGATGCAAAGCTCCATCAATCAGGGGCAACTTGACAGCCACGTGACGCGCGTGGAAATGGAACCTCGTTGCAGTGTAATGGGTATTGACATTCCTTCCGAAGTTTTGGGTTCGTTGCATCTGGGCATCAGCTTCGTCGGGGCTCGAGACGTGGTTGCTCCGTAGCGATTCCACTTTTCGGTGCGGCCATCTGGAAGAAAGGAGAATATGTGGAGACTCGAAATTGAATGCAGTGTTCAGAAATTGTTTACCAATCTATGTCCTGCCATGTCCAATATTTCCTGCCCTTCCTCATTCAGATCTGACGATCGACGTTCAGCATCGTCAATCGAGAAAATGAGGGCGATGCGACACAAATGCTGTTGTTGCAAGCAATTGCACTAATAGCAAGGGTCGTGAGTGTCTTTGCCGTACTGGATTAGGTACTCGTGTATCAATCATCCAATTACACTTTCTCGGGGCTCTTTTTAAGTACGATACCCTTCTTAAGCCCGACGTCACACTCTAATAAACTTGGTATGTTAAGCCCCCAATCCTGCCAAGGTCTAGCGAAGGTCATCGTGCGAGAGCGATAACATGAGAATAGCGATAATTACGATGCGTATGCCCCCCCCCCCCTCCCAATGCAACCCCAGCGAGTCCCCAAGTGCGTCCCTGCTCCTATCCGGCAAACTCCCCGTCTTGGTTCGCTCGTATTCTTTTCTTTTTCCCATTGATTCTGAGGCGAGATGCTCTCTCGCTCTCTCTCTCTCTCCCGTTGATGAGGAAGCTCAGCATGGGATGGGGAAAAGCTGGAAGAAATCCTTATTTCATGGTGGATCTCCTCCGAGATTGGGGAAGATTCCTTGTCTGAGCTTGTCGTGAGAGGAGATATAGAATAGAGAGAGCGGGGTTCCAGGATTGCGCAAGACGTTAAGATTTTTTTTTTCTCGTACGGCTCTGTCTTTGTAGGCGACGCAGTTTAACCGTTTTGGGGTGAGTAAGACTCAGCCGACTCTCAGAATCCCAAAGAAGAAAATATATCGAAGTAGCTCGTCCCAAATCCATGAATAAATGAGATCTTCCGAGGAACGTCGACAAAAAGTAACTTTGCTCCTAACCATGCCGGGCACGGAACTTCTTTAATTATGAGCTTTTCCTCGTCTCGTCATTTTCCTCATTTCCGCATCTCCGTTTGTCCTTGCACAAAGCAGGATGCAAGAATGACCCAAGGTTAGATTCCGGCGAACCGCGAGGAAAGTTCCTCGTCAAAAGTGTCATCACGAGGGAAAGAAACTACCGTTTCATTGGCAGTTCCTAATTCCTGGATTCACGTAACTGAAAAATTCCTTTCGGCAAGTGTGACTGAACCGCATATCACGGAATGAACGTTGCCAAAGGTCAAGGTCTCTCTGCACTTTCAGCACGATGTCCTCCATTCTCAATTCCATCCCGGCCGTGACGATGGAGGATATCGTCCTTCAGATTTGGAAGGGGAAGCAGTTCTCAGAGAGACAAAGGAAACTCCTCGTTCGCCTCCTCAGTCAGTCTTCTTTTCGATCTTTTCTGCTTTTTGTGGAAGTCTTGTTTTCGGGGCAGTATCGGATGGAATCTTTGGGTTATATGCATAGGCATAGAGGTATGCTGTCGGTTGTATGATGTAAATCAGAATCGCACTAAAGTTAGCTGAGATCTGTGAATACAACCCTTTGTATTTCGGAAATTGATCCTTATTTCTCCAAATACGGCAGTAGGAAGGAGAGGTTGGGGGGGACTAAATGCCACATAGAGGAGACACACCGAGTTAGTGCTAGTCCTTGACGGAAGTAGGTCAGCACAAGGGAAATAGAGCCATAAGGTCAAGATGGGGGAAATAAAGGATCTTTCTTCCCCTTTATTTCCGTCCTTCTCGACCTCGTGGTTCCCTCTTACTCCAGTGGTAAAAAGGAGATACAGTCGACTCCGCATAATGGAATACCACTTGATGGAATACTCCTCTTTATGGAATACCATTGCACGATCCCTATTTATGCTACGGCACAGCAAATAGTATCGGTTATTGGAATACTCCGGATTATATTGGAATACTCCGGTCCCGTGAACATTCCAATCCAAGTCGACTGCACTTCCGAGAGGAGCTTGCAATGAATAAGTGAGTCTCCTCTAGTCGGCTTTCAAATGACCGTGCTTACGTGCAAAGCATGAATGTGCCACTAGATGCCTTGCAGGTTTTACGAAGCGAACGTTACAGATAAAGTTTTTTCAGGGTGTTCAAAAAATCATTCAACCCATGGAGTCATGTTCTTCTGTCACAGGCACCGAGTAAATTGTGAACTAAGGAAGAAATATGGACGAAAAGTACTTGCTGCAGAAAAGAAAACTCTTGGAGAAGCTTTACACAAGGACCAGACGTTACAGTGATATTTATTCAGCATGAGTTTGAAAATCAATATGGCAACAAAAAATGACATGCCTCTACCATGAGTTTCACGACTTTTTGAACACCCTGTATAGACCATTTTAACGAGAGCAACGTGCTGCAGCGCTCTATACAGGTCGGTATGTCTACGATGCGATTTCGTCAGGACTTGAAGGAACCCGTTTGCCATCGGAATATGGAAAATGAATATAGTAAAAGAGTCGCTTCTCCGACACTACATTATCCCAACAGATGAGAACCAAATCATATTATCTCTTCTGTCAATGTCAGGAGGACAAGACGATGGGCGAGGAAAAATAGATGAGGCGCGTTCAGATGAGAAAAATTAATTGAAAAATTATTGGAAGTAACTCTTTTAGTAACCCGCTTTCGTGTGGCTTGTAATTGACTTTTAAGGCATTTCACCTTGCTTTCAGCAACAGAAAGTAAAGGTAGGTGTTGCCTACTTGGCACTTGGCGTATTGAACGAACTTTTGGCTCATAGATTGATTGCATGTTGGAATTGCTCCTATTTTCGGTATCCTGTACTTGATTGAATTCCAGCATTCCTTCATGTATTTTGTCCTTTGGAAGACAGTAATTGGATGATCGGCGAACAAAATTTCCCTTCCCCCACGCACAATAGCCCCAATAAGCCGGCCTAGATGCATTCTCCTCCCATCTTTAGCCAGCATATTGTATTGTGCAAGCGTCATCAATAGAGAACGAGCTTAAACGAGTAAAATGAGTTTCGATTTTCAATAATTGGGCTGGATTGCGGTCGTTTTGCTCCTTTCGCTCATCTCTCTGTCCCTTTTCCTCCTCCGTTCCTCACGTTTCTGCCTTCTCTTCCTTTCTCAGGCGTGGGTTTCGGAGGGCTGGGGGTGGGGGTGGCGTTGGGGGTGGCCCAACTGCAGGGGATCTTGCAGGTCTGCCTCTCCCTCATCGGGATCATGAATGGACCCATCCTCGGCCTCTTCGTCGCCTCCATCTTCCTCCCCTTCGTCAACACGTTGGTAAGGACCGAGGCGAGGCGGTTCGCAGTCTTTGTCTTATCGCGGAGGGGGGTCTTGGGTTACTTCTACAGCTCCATAACGATGAGATCATAATTTTCCCTACTTCGTGACACTGCAATGTTGATTGCTGTCATAAAGGCAAAAGAAAGCTTGACGAAATTGATCAAATAGGAAGAAGAAAGTGGCGAAATGCTCATTATTTTAGCGAGACATTAGTGCTTCGTAGCAGACACAAGTTTCACCATTCTTGGTTATGTGTTGGTAAGGGTCACTCCTAGTACACCAAGGGTGTCGAACTCGATTAAGCTGAGGGCCGGATGGAACCCTTCAGGACTGGTTGGGGGACACGCTAGCAAATCTTACACCAAATTTTAATGAGAACAGGCTGAAATTTTAGTGCTTTTCTTGAACCAACCGGTGAAGGGAACTTGGCGGTCCGGACAAAATGAACTTGCTGTCGTCTCGCGGATCGATAAGATGCTAATGAACGAACAGCAGTTGAGAAACACTGCCTGTTTCTGAGTACATCCCATCCCATCTGCAATTTCATCTACTTCATCCTTTCCTCCACCCCATCGAGGTCACTCCCTCTCACCTCTATTTCCGCTATTATCTCCTATACCACAGTGATGCTCGTATATTGATTACCAATCCCTCTTCACGAATAAGGAATCGAGATACTACAAAATGGCATCGAATGCCGTAATCGTACCGCAGTACCAGTCCAATATGTCCTCATTTCTGGGATATTTGCCAACTACTTCGAGTGTCCGGAAAGTAATGAGAATCGTTTGTAAATTTGTAATTCTGCCAGCAGCGCACTTCTCACTGTTCAGGCATTTAGATCAATATGTAATCTCTGTGATTGCCTATTTTCAAGTCGATCGGTTAAGAAGTTCTTACAGAGCAGACCTCAAAAGACAGCTTCATAAGCTCAGTGAACGCGGGCTGTTCTCAACAATTTTGCTATGGCTACAAGTGCTGTGAAAACTTTCGCTTCTATGAGTTCACGCGGTTAAAACTTGGCATTGCGGCGGCTGCCTGTCACACGAAACTGGTCACTGTGTATGGCAATGACGCTCCTGGCAAGTCTACGGTCTTCCGGTGCTTCAGCAGCTTTAAAAAAGCAGCTGAAAAGGAGGAGCCTTCCTTTCTTGACCAGCCCCGCGGTGGCCGTTCAAGGTCCACTCGGACACCAGAGCATGTCGAGACGGTACAAGAGCTGATAGATGAGGACTCCCAAGTGACTACTCGAGAGCTGGCCGAGTGGTTCGACGTTGGCAAGAGCACTATCCGCGAGGTGCTCAGACAAGACCTGCAATTGCGCAACGTGGCATGTTTGGGTACCGCACAAACTGACTGAGGACAACAAAGCGGCTCGCATCAACGGCGCCAAGCACATTCAGGGCTTTTTTTTCCGCGAAGGCATGAAGGGTTTCCGCAACAAGTTCACCAAGGCCTTTTGCAACAAGCTCATTCCGTGTGACAGGCAGCGGTCGCAACGTTGAGTTTGAACCGCGTGAACGTGTAGAAGGGAAAGTTCTCAGCGCTTGTTATAGCGAAATTGTTGAAAACACCCCGTGTTGCACTCTTCTTATAGAGCTGTCTTTTGAGGTCTGCTCTCTAAGCACATCTCAACGGATTTCGACTTCAAAATAGGCAATCACAGAGATTACATATTGACCTAAATGCCTGAGCAGTGAGAAGCGCACTGCTAGCAGAATTACAAACTCATTCGAACACGATTCTCATTACTTTCCGGACACCCGAAGTAGTAATGATATTTGCTAATTACTTGCACGACAGGGAGCGTGTCTGGGGACAATCACTGGGACGGTGATGTCTGCTTGGATCGGGATGGGAGGATGGATCCTCGAGGTCACAGCCACTTCCTCTGCCCTCGCCTTCTCCACTGAAGGATGCGAGCTGCTCAATCGCTCGTCTCACGCCTTCTACGGGTCAGCTTCCGACGTCTCCTTGGCTCCGAGGCGATTGCGGTTCCCATAGTTCGGAGCACGTGTGGTTCCAATTTTCTTTTGCGAGTCGGTGTTGGACTGAAGGCAATGCTGATTGCTGTTCCATTTAGAAAATTTGATAGAACATCTGCTCTATCAAATTTGATGACATCTTAGACGAAGTGAACTCCTTGTCTGAAAGCTTCTATCGTGAACTGTCGGCGACTAGCAGAAAAATATATATATTATTTCACACAGAATAGGTATATTTGGTCATTACGTTTCGGCCATTCTGCCACATTCTTCAAAAAACTATGGAATGAATTCCGTTTACAAATGGGTGGAACATTTCAGCCCAGCTATTGCATTGCAGTGCATGCTTCCACTTAATGCTCATGGGGAACGAAAGCGGGATGCAAATACAACTAAACCAATTTTTGTTATGAATTCGTTTAGTGACTGCATAGTTTTTGGATGAACCTAAACTAAACCTAAACTATTGACGTAATAGGACCCAAAAATACGAAAGTGAAAACAAAGATTTCTGCCTATCCTTTTATTCTTTAATTATCACGCCGATTGTTCTTATCACCTGATCTAGTGATACGAAATAGTTGAGTTTAAAAGTCATACACAAGCAAATTAAAGTCAATGTCAAAGTAACTCGAAAATAGTTGATAAGTCGCCTCATTTTTCGCCCGACAGGACGCCTGACTTACTGAGGCGGCCAGCGGAGGGATACGAGCAGGTCTACACCATTTCGTATCTGCTGCTGCCTCACATCGGCCTGGGCATCACGCTCCTCGTCAGCATCGTCGTCAGTCTCCTCTCAGGTATGGAGGATTCTCGGAGAATTTTCGCTGTTTTTGAAACCATTGCGTACGCTGTCCTCTTAAAAAAAAAAATCATTTTACCACTATTGCAGCGTAGGCAGGTTCTCGACGTTTCTTCTGTCTTTCAATTTTTAAGGCGGAAAATGCTGCATACATTTTTTCTTCGGCCACTGCGTTAAGACAAGACTGAAACGACATTTTGTACCATGTTTCATATTGGGACCTAGAAATCCTCCCATCAAGTTCCAACGATAATTTCCACAGATTCTGACCAAATATGTTAAGTTCACTTAATGCACATACGACTCACGTGGACCTTACCCCCACAAGGCGGCGCACATTGGTCGCATGATTTGCATCACAAAAAGGTTACGTGGAGAGGAGTTCAAAGGTTATCTTCAAAAGTCTCCCTAGATGCTCGATTCCGAGCTATGTTTAACGTCTGCTGAGGAAACTTCATGATAGAAACAACCTCTCCATCAATTCAAAACTTGAGGCTACCTGGAGAAAGGAGAGAGGAGAAAGTAAGCTAAAGATCCTTTTTTTTATTAGTGTGGGATAATTAGTATCGGAGCAAATAATTGCAAAATATGTAACAATTTCTCTTCGATCTGATTTCAGGAATGCTGACTTCTCAGGTAAAAATTTCAAGTTTCTTTGGTTTCAGGTGGACATAAGGAAATAGGAGACATAGACGAGAAGTTGGTGAACGGCACCGTCCTCAGACTCTTCTCTGGCTGCCGAAAATCCAACAAGGATCCGATGTCGAGTAGTGAAAAGGGTGTAGACTTGGAGCGGTTTTAAATCTTGACCGATATACGATATTTAGGTAACAAATACCGATATCCACATAATTTATTCCATACACTCAATTTATAATAAAAATTAAAGAAGGACTCAGTCTGTCCATTTTGAGGCCTACGGCTGGTTGATATTAAGGATTTAGCCAGATCCATTTGCCACAGAAGAGGGATCGGCAGATTCCTGCAAAACTTGCAATTCAGGGTTTGGACATGTGAAACAAATCAGAATGGGGATTCGGTTTAGTCCTTTGAAATCAATCGAACCTTCGATCACCACGAATTGATTATTGCGTAAGTATATTCCGAAGTCTCTGCTGGGTGACTAAATTTTCTTTCGAATCCAGTACCCATGAGCTGCTTGAAAACTGAACTGAAGATTAAAATGAAGAGGATCAAAAGAATATCGTGCCGCTCCATTCGGAATTTCATGATCCTTGCATGTTTAAATGGGGAATTATGAGGTGATTAGCATTTGATGAAGCAATTTTTATCGATTGTTAGACAGCTCAGGATTATTCGAATGAAAATGTTTAAATATCGATCATCTTGCATTCGGATGCATGCACAGAGCGCAGTTTTAAAATTTGCATCACCATGAGGGATTTTTTTTTGCGGCAAGCAAAAAATAAGCCTGATAGTTCCAACTGGGTCTGTCCATGACAAGTGGTCCGAGGATTTTAGCCGGAAATTTCTCTAAACATGCGAATATTATTTTCGCTACAAAAGTACATCTCTTTTTCCAGAAGGCATGAATGAAGGAGAATATTAAATTAAAAATTGAAAGAATTAGTCATGTTCATTATATATTATTCAAACTATTCTGATGATATCCATGGATGCGATGAAAATGAAAATTTGGAGAGACTGAATTTGACTATTGGAACAGATACCAGCATGGCTTCCATGCATATCACTATTTTCAAATCAGTTCAGGGGTGAAGAGTAGATGCCAATTGTTCACAGTTAAATTATAACATTTTCAGAACATGTCACATTCGTCACGGTCACGGCCTTAACTTTCTTTCCGAAGTTTTGTAATATTGGGGTGACTTACATTAATTCCAGGCTTTCATTTAATTTATAGAATGAACATAATACTAAGTTATTAGGTTCGCTGTATGACAGAAATGTCAACATTAGAGCAAGTGACTTTAACCTGGGGTTTCACGAAATGTCACGTCACTTTTCTTCGAACACAAGTACACCTCAAGCAAAAGAGAGCTTGCAAGCCTTTGGATCATTAAATTTTCAGTCACTGTCACAAATTGCTGCAGCTTTTATATGTTGTTTCTTCATTTATAATATTGTTAAAGACATTTTGTATATCAAAAGTATTACTCTGGATGTCACGTCCGGCACGGTGAACAGACCAAACTGTTTTCCCCCCCTCAAAGTGCAAGAAATATAAAGATAGGCGGAAGGCTTCGGTTGGAGAAAAGCTAAGGAGGGTGAAAGGAGGGGGGGGGATGCATGGAGGCCCTGTAAGGGAACAACAACCTAGCGACTAAAGGAACAATTCTTGCAAGAGGTGCCACGAAATCATAGCCACCCCCCCTACCCCTCTCCAACACCGCAGCATTTGGTCAGCCAAATGAAAACACAATAGTAATAACAAAATAACATAATAACAAAATTCTTTTTTTATGTCTATTGAAAATACTCTCCTGGGGTTATTATTATTTTTATGGCGCTGTCGTAAAACGACATTGACATAAACCGTGGCACCGTTTCTCACTGCATCATCCGCGTCATCTTCCGAGTGGCATCGCCGGCCCCTCAACCTTCATAGATCTGAATACGTGAAAATCACACGGTGACAAGTCTGAACCGTATAGACTATAGAGGATGGTCGAGAATCTCCTAACCAAGTTTTTGAGCGGTTGCCGCTGTTGCACGAACAAAGTTAAGTGGGACATTATCGTAGAGGAGAATGACACCTTTCGTCGGCAGTCCAGATAACCCGCTCCCGATGGAACGACAAAGTTTATTGTGCAAAGTGTTGCAATATCGCTTCGAGCTGACCGCTTCCCGTGAACAGAAAATCCAGCAGAAGTAGTCCATGACGGTCAAAATGCAGTCATCAAATCTTTTTTCTGTAGAAGCCGTTACGTGGAATTTTTTTTTAGGTGGGGGGAGATTGAGAATGCCTTTAATACATGCCAGCACGTATTGACAGGTTCAAATGATGACACCAGGATTTATCTCATGCCACAATTCTGGCTGAAAACGTGCCCGCTTCAGCGTTGGACGTCCCTTCAATGGAAGAAGCCAACTTCACGTTACAGCGCACCCAATCTTCCGCAAGCCCTGATACCAATTTACGCATGCAACTCTACTCCGGTGTACCTAGGATTTAAATACGATTCTACGACAACGATTTCGTGATGTATATACGATTTTTGGTCGAATTCGTTGTTTTCGGTTGACTGGCCCGAGTAGATTGTAGGTATACGTAATGAAGCCATAACTAGGTTTTAATTATAGGATGTTTCTTGATGTATAAAGCATTTATGATGAGTTTATTCCTTGGAGGTAGTGAAAAAAGACGATGGATTGCTAACATTTGCGCGGGGATTTTCCGAGAGGCCCAAATGCTGCCACACCTCGCAGTCTTCTCGCTCTCAGAATCATATCCAGACTGACTTATTATGGCCCTTCGAAATGCAAATGGTGGAAGCATCAAGTTTTGTCTACAGGTGTCTACATGATGCTGAATAGAGGCATTTGGTCCTTCCATAACATTTTACACATTTGTTCTTTCTTTTCTAGTGGAGGGAGGGGGGGGGGGGGGGGTAATAATTTCGCGGGATCTTGTAAAACCCCTGTAATAAAAAATTATCCTTGAATTTTCAATTCCAATCAACATCAACATCAATGCAAGAATGGTCTCTACCATTATTGCTTGGTCCCCACGGAGACGGCGACATTACTCACCGTGAGTACCTTTTCCCCTTCTACCTCTTACGAATACAAGGAGTTAGACAATGACGGATCTTTTCAAAATGTAAAAACTTCCACGCTATCTAATATAGCCTACTGTATATAGACGATCGTGACTGACACTAATTCTAACCATGTTCTAGAGAAGTTAGAAATCTGAAATTTGGTAGACAAGTAGCTATTAGGATGCAGAGTTCAGAAAAAAATCACTTTGGAGATATATGCCCTGGGGGCACCCAATTTGGGGGGAGATGTTTTCAAAGTTATATCTGCTTCAGTCAAACGGAGAGACATGGAAAGTTAAAAACTTGACATGGACGTGCCTGAGACACTGAGTTCAGGAAAAATGTCAACTTTCTATACATCCCCTTGGGGCATATTTTTTTTGGTGGCGACGTTTGCAATTAATTTTTTTTGCCTTAGCGAATTGGGCCGAGATAGAAAGGTGAAACTTGGCACACGCATAACTGAGGTAATGTTGAGTTCAGAAAAAATTTCAACTTTTGTGGTGCATGCCCTCAGGGCAGAGTTTTTGGCTGGATCGGCATTTCCAAAGATAGTTTTGCACCAGCGGAAAGTGCAAACGGATAAGGCTGAAACTTGGAAGGCGCGTAGTTCTCCGCGTGCTGATTTCATTTCTGAAATCAGCACTCGCTGAAAAATAATTATTAGGAAAAACCCCTGGGGGCACATTTCGTTGCAAAAGGCGCACTTTCTCGAATCTTTTTTGATCCAATGAATGAAAGAACTGAAGAAAGTTTAAACTTGGAGCAGAAGTACTTGTTCGATTGCCGAGTGCAGATCCTACTTTTCAAATATATCTCCTCAGGGCAGATTTTAAAGAGATTTGAAGTTAGGCACGCAAGAAATAATCGGAGTATATATGTCGATAAAAATATTGGTTCGTCCCCTCATGGCACATATTACGACATACATATACTTTCTATAAGTTTTCGCCACTTCGAAAATGAATTAATGAATCAATATCCTGGACAATGGAGCGCCGAAGGCGCGACCATAGCTAGTAAGGAGATAAAATTTAACATCATTTTACAGGGCGGACGATATTTCGAAAAGGTTCCTCCCTTCCTCGTAAACGCGTTTTTCAGCGAGTACAAACATTTACACATCATTGCATTTTTTTTGCGTCCGCTTTCTGCATCATTACACAGTGTGGTCATATTTTCGCGTCACCCCGCCACTAACTTAAGGGTGCGTTCCCTGTCGACGGGACCTCTGGATAAATAAATAAAGAAGGAAGAGAGGTAGACTGAGGGGAAGGAGCCTTGTTTGTTTTCTCTTTATGCAATTTTCCATCTCGGTCCCGCCACTCCTGGGTCTGAGGACTTATCCTCCATCTACATATATAATGACCAGCAAATCTGCATATATAACGACATGCAGATGTCTGTACGACTGAACTACGAGAAAGCTCCTCCCAGGATTTCTCAACCGATTTTCATCACCGGCAGTTAATTGAAAACAACCTTTTTGCAGATTGACCGCATCCACATATTTATTTATTATATTTTTGAGATGACCTTCGGCCTGACTCAGATGAACTGACACATTCACATGAGACCTTTTTAATGAGCAATATATCAATCGATTAGAATGAATTAGAATTGGTTAGAATAGGAAAAATGTTGACTTTTGTTCCTAATTTGGTCAATCGGTCAACGGAGGTCGACGGATTCTCATGGTAATCGTGGGCCAGAGTGAAATGCGAATGCGAGTGCATTCTTCATTTTAAGTCTTTCCGAAAACAATCGCTCATCCGGAATGCCTCCTCCTCAAAGCTCAACGGTCATTCTTCATAACGCCGAAAGACATTATATGACATTTACATGCGTTCAGTTTCGCAAATGTCGGATATCCTCATGGAGGAACTTGGAAAATCGAAAGAACGGTTGGTAGCCTGCGCCAAATATGGTAGCCTGGAAACACACTTCAAACTTCAGTGAAAGCACGCACATTCAAGCGCAAACGAACACATTGAAGTGGATCTTTCGTGCTCCTGTAGTCGCTATTGAGGGCTTCGGACCTTAATCTTGATAATCGAAAACTGGAATATATCTTAAGCGATTCTCAGATATACCCGTGATTGAGCTAACTCGAATGGCTGGAACCACACGCAGGGTTCCACAATGGGTGGGGGAAATAGAACAACGTGATGAGTGCACCGTGGCAGCAATTTGTCTCACGTTTCACCTTCCAAAATCTCTTGCGAGCTCAAGTACAATATGTACAACATACAAACTTTATCTCAGATAAGTCAAATTTGACCCAATTCACTAAAAATTGCTGAACATTGAAAACAATGATTGAAAATGTTGGGAATTTTTAATGAACTTTCCATATTTTCATTATGCAAAGTGTATGTACTAATTTGATAACTAAGACATTCATGGCTCTGCAAATGTTATTATTCCAGGTGCATTTTAGAGATAAAATAAAAACAAGACCAGTTTCTAGAAGACTTTGGCTTTATTTGCTCATCCTACACCATAAGAAATTTGAAGTCACTGACGACTCATACCCAGATTCATCATATTCAGTAATGATAGCAGACTTCAGACATGGAAAACAAAAGGGGACAATATGAATACACAGAACACAAAGGAAAGTATAATATAAATACATCTAACTTTATTCAATATTCATCAAAGTGTAGTTCAGTAGCAAGAACAACATAGAAAGATGAAAAATATATGTTTACAAAATATTCCCTTCCACAGCAATCTACAGTACATTGGTACTTGGGATGCCATCTTGGTCTTCAGGCATAGGATGCAGAAATGAATACATTAAACAACCTGAACTGGGGATTAGCTGCACAATGCTCAACTGACAAGAATTTACAAACGAATTTATGACTGACTGAAACCATCCAGAATGTCCAAACCTGACTTAACCATTACCATAGGATTATGGTCATTTGGAAGGAACACTATCCCAGACATTGATGCTAAAGAAGTCATAGCCCTGAGGATTACAGGAAGGGACCAATATAATGAGAACTTCAGAATATTCTTGGCTATGCAAATCAATGTACAATACCCATGTAGTATGTCTATTGGTTCTCACCAATTTCTCACTTCCATTAAAAAAGTGAAATTTTTTTGTCAGGGTTTCATTTTTTTCCCAAAAAAAAGTCTCAGCAAAAGGCCTACTTCATTTAGATATGCAATTTGCAAGTCAAAATGTGGTCTGACTCATGAAGAGTGTAATCTGGTAATAAAAATCAACAGCTGCACTCTGCAAGAAGTGAAAAGGTTCCAATTCTTGTTGTCTACATCACAATGATGAAAAAAGAAAATCAGCTCATTGGTTTACATGAACAGGTTGAAGCTGGTGAAATGAAAACTTTTTTAAGGCAATGTTTCTGGATGAATCACATGTACCACTTCAATTTCAAAATTCAGGCAAAATTTGCATAAGGTGCCTCGATCTACTCACACACAGGAGTTTCTGGCCATCCCCTCTCCCGACCAAATTTTGATTAAATTACAGTGATTCCTCTGTTCTGAAAGGTAGTCATAGATTCCCCTGATTAATTCCCATTCCTTTTCTTTTGATCCCTTACATTTGGTAGATCATTGATCATTTGGCTTTCTCAGGCAAAATGAATGGCAGTTCATTGCCAAGAAGAACCACAGATATTAAGATAAATAAGTTTTGCCAGCACTTATCCTATCCAACTACCCTTTTATCTTAGAGCAAAGCAAAGCATAGCAAAGCAGCAACATGCATGCCTTACACCTAACTTTATTGGCTGCAAACAAGTAAACAGGGCATTGGGAACAAATGACACGAGAGTGCATCTTTAATTTGGAGTTGGAACGTGGGATTAGGTTCGTGGTGATAGACTCTCCTCCTAAAAAGTAAACTTTTTGTCTGAACTACACCTGGACCACAGGTATACCAGGTTAGGATTGCCTGATGTATAACTGTGCAAAGAAGATTCACTTAGAAAGTGCTTTGGAAGGTCATGATGTTATTTTTCTTCAGGAGAATAATCTAGTATTCTTTGCCAAGGATGATTCTCCTCCACTTAGCATAGGACCCAGTATGCATGGTGAAAATCAATGACCTTCAGATTATTTGGCAACTGGGAGGCAATACAGATATTGATGGACATTTTAACTTATTTAAGCCTTGATATCCAGTGCAAATAACTTGGATTATTTAAAAAATGTGTGACATGAAGTATGTTTGTGCTCTAAAATTTACTAATAGAATTCCAGCCTGCATCTTGCCTTTATGTGTCTACATGCTAAAATCAACAGCAGCTTTGGCATTTTTTGTTGAGAAATGAAAGATGCAACACTAACAGATATACAGTATAACAGAGGGGGTGGAGAAAAATTCAACTTTCTACATGGCTCACACTTAGTTGTCCCATCCATCTCTTATCTAAGGATCTATCCACTGGAGATTTATTCACTATTGTTGATAGCCTTATTAAAATATCCAAGTACATTTCAGCTCCACATATGAAACATTCAACTTATTTGTGAACAGTGACAGTATTGTTGGCAGACACCAACCAATATTCACCAATTGTTAGCTCCTTTAGAAAGAGCATGCTATGAAGATTCATTACTTGGCAACACCATGGGTCTTAAAATGGTATTAGATAAAGCAAATAATAGAAGCTGGAAAGAAAGCAGAGATGCATTTCAAATCTCAATAGTAGAGGGATGAAAAAATGTTACAGAAACTTGTAAGCCTGGGAAGTGATTGAAGCATGATCCAGGAAGAAAAGGTCATGAACTCATCATTTCCCCATTCTTACAAACATATAAAGACTGGATAGGATTACAAGATGTGGTTTATTCCCAGGGCCCATTAAATAGTGACCAGAAACTTCTGTGTGAAAGTAGGGTTTCAGTCAGCCTCATCATTACTTCTCGCAAGAATCATATGAAAGGCAACATCTTGTAATTGGCAAAGAAAAGATTCAGGCTCACCAGGTACTGAGAGTAATGAAGACTGAATGTCTGTAAATTTGCAAAGGTATGAATTATTTGAAAAATCTCCATTCCATCATGAGGATATTTGCATAAAGGTAGGAACTGAAGGGAAAGATTAAATTCACTCATGAATTAATTTGAAAGAATACCTGGTGCAGTTTAAAAATGATCTTTCAAGACACAGTGCATAGAATGGTATGCAATCTCATGGAAAGAGAGTTCTCTGTTGATTTCTGATGCATGGGCAGCATGTTATTGAAAATCCTGTATGAATATTCTTAGATGTGGAGGGATATTCCACTTTGAGCTGCACACTGGTTAGTGAGTTGAGTATGAGAGATTCCTTTACTTGGAGACATTCTGGGAAAACCAATAGTTACAGAACAGCAACACAAGGCTCCCCCTGTGAATACAATCTTAGTGAACAACAAATGAAGCTGCAGCATAACTCACAGATGAATCTGACATTGAGTAGCACTGACTGGATTGAGAGTACTTCAAAAACTTGAGGCTCATGTTGTGGCCATTACCTGTCTTTCGGAGTGATTCAACAGCATTGAGGAGCACCCCAATAGGATGCCGCCCGCAGATTGTGTTCCCATACTTTTTTAGATACTCAGTGAAGCCCTTGGGGGACAACTGCTCAATGAGATCCATCCCAGTTCGATCGAGCTTAGAGATACTCCGATGGATCTCTCCACATGAGCGGTCAAAGTATGTGTAACGGAAGCGCTGTCCCCAGTGGCAGAAATCTGAGGAGATGACAAACAAGTTGGACGGATCATCAAGATAGGGTGCAAGGACTGAGCCATACATGGCCTCCTTCTCAGGTACCAGGGAACCCACAAGAATAGGCACCACAGTGAACTGAGTGGCATATCTCTCCATCATCTGGGACACAAGAGAATTCAAGAGATCAAATGAGTACTGAAATCATGGAATGGCTGTTTTCTGAGGGGATACCATACCAGTAACTGTAACTGAAGATTAAAAAGACTGAATGAATGATATAGAATGAATCAAAACTACAAATTCTGACCACAATCTATTTAGGAAAATGAAAATATCGAACTGTTAATATACCATTAAAAAAAACTGATGCAGAAGCATTCAAGCAGGGGTTTCTACAGGCTGGTCAAGGGAAGATGGAAGATCCATAAGCCTCCTGTCCAGTTGCTTTTTTTTTTTTGGAATGGTGCATTAAGAAACTATTTCTCTATTAATGGCTTAGCCATTAATAGAGTTAAATTTAATGAAACTCTGTGGAAGTAGAATCAAATGCTCCCATCAATGCACATGAATGTCCTTCAATATAATGCAGGATTCCCACTGTTAGATGCCTCCATAGCAAGGTGGCAGTAAATGTCCAGATAGGAAACCCATCAGCTCTTCTGCTCCATGGCATACCTGTACATGGCCAAACAGTGTTCCCCCTCCCCTATGTCTGAAAGGATTTCTGGGCCCTTGTGCTGGAGGTGTCATATATATAGGGTAACAACACTGCCAACAGATCTCTCTCCCTACTCCTATCTGCTTTCTCATTCTCTTCTTTGAAGCAGAAGGGTGCATATTGCCACAATTCAGGAAACTTCTAATCTAGTGCCACTAGGGACAAGCCATCCAAAAATTTCAAGCTCATGGATGAAGCTGGTGGAGATTGTAAGTATCACCAGACATGGTATTTGAACACACCCAACAACTAAGCTTCTAGCAGGGGAAGAACACCCATCAGTCTCTGGAAATTCCAAAATTGACTGAATGACTTCAAAGGGCACAAAGGCAATTTGCACACAAACTTTGCAGACTTCTAAAAAGCTTGAATAAATTTCTCATAGCTTCATGACATTGTGGCAATGTCTGCACTTCAAATCCTACAAATCCAGTACTGGACTCCTACATGGTCAGTACAGTCTTTGCCTCATATTCTTCATAGTAATTTAATGAATTGGTCATGAATATATGTATTAATAAATGGAGTCAAGAAAGTGGGATCCATCATTTTTCAATGGGAAATACACCAAGTTATAATCCAGGAGGGACACTCTCACATACCAGGCTAAAGAAAGTCTTATTTGAAAAATAGGAGAATAATCAAGAGTATAGTGACTATTAATAAAGAGATATGATTGCACAACATATCATGAAAGGTAGCATACACATTTACTCAATTGGTATCAAGTGATGGAGCTGACAATTCAGTAAAAACTCAATGGAAATAAAATCACAGGCCATACCTTGGCAATCATGGGAAGCTGCATCTCAATGCTGTGCTCATCTTCATCAGTTGAAGCGCTCATCTGCTCAAACTTCCCTGATCTTTTAAGCTCTTGATAGACATGTTGGTCAATGACTAAATCATAGAAGGGAGTAGCATACTTCTCGTAAGTGGACAAGGCACATCCAGGCAGTCGCACATGATGAGACGGTCCGAGGATGAACACCCGCCTAACTCTCCCAGGATCTACCTGTCTGTATGCAAATGCAGCACAGGAGCCACAGTACTGGTAGCCAGCATGGGGGGATATGATAGCTCTTGCTGGGCCATGGTCCACATTCACTTCAGAAAGCCACCGGCTCAACTGCTGATTCAGCTCGCTACGAGAATCTGAATACCAACTGCCTGCATGAGTGGCTCTCCTTACTGACATGATCTGATCCCTAGTATTCACTCCTGTGGTGAAGATGCAGTCTGCTGAAGCTTCTACCCTATCCAGTCCTGTAAATAAAATCATATCAATCTCAAAAGTCCCACAACCTCAAATAATGATTCTAAGTACTGAAAGACAAAAAAGAAAATTATAAGTCCAGTGCAACACTTGGCCCTCTTTCACAAAAAAAAGTAGGATCGTTAAGAGAATCAATAATGTGGAACATGGAAGGATTTCCCAAAATGATAGCAACAACAGAACAGGAGGAAACTGGTTAAAGTGGAGTAAATTATAAGTGAAACTTGGGTCAGGAAATGGCTTCCTTACTTGTAGGGTAATGAATGCATGGAATGCGTTGGTAAATGTTGTAGTGGCTGCCCTTCTGTGACCAGCTTTAAGAGGTTAGATGTCTTCATGGATAGAACAATGAAGGCAGAAATTAAGTTGTAACTCGACAGCAGGAGGATGTGTTCCCAGGAAAGTAATCTCTTCAAGAAGGTTAGGCCTATCTTACATTACATGAACGCTCGACTTGGACATTGGACGTCATACTGGGTTTTTAAAAATGCCTCTCGACGTCCTTACCCAAACCATGAACCTTGAACATTCAATTCCATGCCCTTGGTGCATCCAAGGAGGCGAGGGATTATCTATCATGAAAAAAATTGCATTCTCCTATGTGGAGCACGAAAAGATGGTACGCATCCGTTGGAAAGTCACCGCATATGCCAAAACTCTGAAAGCATTCGACTGAATACCACCTCACAATAGGTTTATGCAGTAATTCTTAAATAAGAAGTCTGTAGGCAGCCATAATCAATTACAGATGCCTAAACGTTAGAAGACTTGCGATATGTCCGTTCAATTGTGGGTCGTTGGATCTCAAGCTCTCCTTCGTTCTTGGATGAACTATTTGCAATAAATCCTCAAGGTATTTGCATGGAAGGTATTTTTAATCATATATAGCTTTGTATGAGATGCCTTGTCCACAAATCCTCCAAATGCGCGTTCCTCATCTACTTCAGGGTAAGCCTGCCTGACGTGGCGCCAACATGGCGCCTCACGAGGTACGGTTAGCCGTACTTAATACAGGAAGACCAAGTACTACTGCGGTCGGGACACAGGTTTATGTGTAGTTATGACTTAACCTAAGCCTATGAAAGCGACGAGGTTTTTTTCACTCTTGAGAAAGTGAGATCACATCGCTTATTCTCCTCGTGCTTCTTTAGCCGTCACCGATTAGGAATCTATGATCAATGTCTAGCGCTGGGCCTCTAGATCCAGGATGTTGGCGTCCTAGGCAATGTCTCTGCAGCAATTTAGTGCAGATCATCACCGTTGGGGTTCATGTAATCTGTTAACGTTTTTGCTAGCTACTTTGAGCAAATCTTACAATGATTCAGCTTCTGACCTAGATAGCTAAACGAAGATGTTGAATCCTCAAGTGCCTGGAATCTAAAACCCTTTTCTTCCCGCAAATAGAATGGCTGGTTAAGGTAAATGATTACTGGTAGACTCCAATAAAGGGAGAATAAGACAAAACATAAGCACCCCTCCCACAACACATATTCACGACTCACTTTAGTCTCTGAAGTTACTTAAGTTCCAATGTGCCAAGTTCCATTCAATGGTCACTATGTTTCTATGTTGCCTTCCTGCTTCAGTGGCAGCTATGCTGCTGATTGAAGGAACCAGTAGCAATGCACTTGTCAACTCTTCTTTGAACATCTGATTGGTACACTACCCTCCAGGGGAAAACATGACAACAGTTTGGGACTCATTCGAGTCAGACATAGGTGCTGCTTCTGTAAATGTGATACCTTTAGCTTCAAAGTAACCAATTGCTTTGATGAAATGGTCTTATCGAAACACCTTCATAGTGTGTTCGTTGTCTAGGACAGTGGTTTTCACCTAGAGACTATGTAGGTCCCCAAGCACAATAGTTGGTTTGATATTTTTTTTAAATTTCAGATGCCAATTTTGCTCAGGTAGCCTTGAAGCACTTCATAAAGATGGAAGCTGATCAACCTTCAAGGCAAGAGATTCAAGTTGTCTTCAAGAAGTTGAGGGGTCTTTCGTCAAACAAGGTAATGCCAGGTCTATCTTGGGAGTTGTGGTGTTAGCCTATTGAGGAATAATAAGGAAGAAAGCTGAATGCTTTCTGAAGTGGCCTTCAATTCTCTGTGGATATTCTAAATCCCCCAAAAAATGACTAAACTTGATTTGAATGGATAAAGTATTCTCAAGAGCTTTGCATATACTGCAAAAGCAATAAATTAAAATACTTAATGCACATAAGTGGAAATGTGGCTATACACTGTAGCATGGAAACACTTACAGAGCCTGTCAGTTTGACCAGTGTTGTGAGAAACTAATGATTTACCTGTACATTTTTTTATTTTAAGTTGGCCTTTACAGCTATTTTGAGCTGCAATCCAGATAAGTGCATGCCTTACTGTCAGAGCTCTTTTTGCTTTTTCTCTAGGTTTATGTTTGGCTGACATGAATTTGGTGTATTTTTTTCTAGAATGCATAGTAGGATGCTAAATGCTATAAACATATGCTCTGCATTTGGTAACTCTTTAGGTAATAGATCAACATGTCTATTTCAACTGCTAGTTTGATTTTTCAGGGTACATAGCAAGCCTAGACCAATTCAGCTCATAACTGAAGATGGTATTCTTGATTTTGAAGTTTGTTATTCAACTGTTTATGGGTTGTTCACCAAAGTTAAGTTCTGTGTATTTAAAGTATTAAGGAAACTTAGCAATGTAAAATTTTCAACATCTACAGGAAGAAAGTTTCACTAGCTGACTGAAAAATGAGTAATTCTTTTGAGGTAATTTTCCCAACCAAAATTGTCAAGTGGTTTACAACTTTGGGTATAACATTATGAGCCTTTAAAAAATTAATTATCTCAACAACAAAAATATACTTATTACTTTCTGCACACATGATGCAAATGACAGAGTACCTTGAGTGAATGGTAGAAGTGGAAGATGATTCTGTTTTTGTTTCAGGTATGTTTTGACTGCAGTGGGAAGAATCCAACTTGGGCCTCAATCACCTATGGAGTGTTCATTTGCATTGACTGCTCAGCTGTGCATCGATCTCTTGGCGTACACGTCTCCTTTGTACGCTCCACTCAACTAGATACTAATTGGACTTGGGTTCAACTGCGACATATGCAACTTGGAGGAAATACCAATGCTGTATGCTTATTTCTTAGCTCATGGTTGCAAAATTTGCATGCATGTCAACTGATCATATATGAATAGTATTAAGCTCTCTAGTGATATAGATTTATTTTTTTCCAATAGTGAATATGATATTGAAAGCTTATATTTTGAACAGGTGGCAAGATACTCTTATATGGATGTTGCCCATGTACATTATGCTGATATACAAGTCCCAATCTCCCTTAAATGGGCATTTGTCAGGCTAGTTGGTCAATGTGGGGCTAAGCCTCATGCCTGGACCACTTTTGCCAAGATGAAGATAATCTGCTAAATTCGAATAACATAGATTCAATCCTTTCCCTATCTGTTCTCAGATGAATTGAGCAAGTGCACTTAGAGAAAATGTTGTACAAGGATGGCAAAAATTATTTTAAATTAGTTATTTCTTCTGAAGTGCTTCTTAGAATAGCATATGAAGGAAGCTAGAGCTATAATGGAGGAACACAGATGTTTCTCCTTGATTAAATTTTTAGCTTTGCATTTTCTTGTGATATAAAAATCTGCAGCAATTGCAAAGCAAGGTAACCAACAATGTGCTTTTATTTCTTAATCAAATTCCTCAGGAATGAGAAATGCATTGTTGCTCCATTCTGATTATAACCTGCTTTTGTCATGCAAGACTCATAAGATCTTATGCATAAAAGCTTCAGTATTAAATCCAGCAGATCCATATGTCAAATATTGATGAAACTTAGGTATTATATTGATGCAGTTCTATTTACTGATAACTGAAAATTGTAAAATGTTTTTTTTTTTTTTCAGTCGAACTTCTTCAATCAGCATGGCTGCAGTACCACTGATGCCCAACAGAAATATAACTCGCGAGCTGCCCAGTTGTATCGGGAGAAGCTACATCATGCTGCAATCCAAGCTATGCGCTTGCATGGAACCAAGGTGAGCCATTACATATTACACTTTTACCATGCTGATGGAATCAGATGTCATGGTATCTTATACCTGATATGAGCTCATTAACATATACAGGGTGGCCCAAAAGTAGGTATACAGTTGTTTAGTTTTTTTATTTATTTTATTTTTCTTTACAGATAATGTGAATGATGGCAGCGAACTTGAGTCAAGAACAAAGAAAGTGGATTCTAAAGCAGTACTGGAAGACTGAAAATGTTAAACAAATGTAAATGTAATAATGTAATAAAATGCAAATAAACTATACTGTATACCTACTTTTGGGCCACCCTGTATAATTTAATATTTTATGTCTATCTAATTGCACATGTGATGACTGGACATAAATGGCCACATTGATATCCCATTGCAATTTTTTTTTTTTTCACTTGAGGAAGGGAAATGGTTCTTCAGAGTAAGTTTTGTCTCATGGGAAGGATATATCTGCAGATGCTTATAAATAAATGTGCAAAATTTCAGTGCTGATTTTTCAAGGATTTGGAGCACAAATAGACTAACAGAAAAAGGCAGACATGACAACATGCAATTTTTGCTTTTGGCAAAGCTTTTTCATGTGCGTTATATGTTGAACCTTTGCATAGTAAGCCTTTGGTTTACCTCACTCTGGTTTGTATTATATTTTTTATGAAGGAGTGTGTGAATGGCACCCTCCATGTTACATTCACCAGTTGAAAATATATTCATATTACAGTCTAGGCCAGGGGTTTCAAACTTGTTTGGGTTTGCAGACTGCATCACCAAGCTCAAACCTCTCTACGAGTCAAATTAGAAAAATCATAAAATAAATAATCTACCACTACCTTATATTGTGCATACTGGACCATAAATGTTTCTCTCTTGGTGTGCAAAGGTGAATTGCAACCTGCATTGAGAGATTTGCGGGCTGCAAGTTTAAGACCCCTGAACTAGACATTGATATTCAGCTGTACATCAGGAAACATTATTTTCTCAAATTTTCATTTTTGTCTTGTAAATTAACCCTGTCTCTGCTTAACTTTATGAAAGAGGATTTGCTGAGATTTTATGTGAATGGGTCATTTTGGAACACTACTATATCAGCATGGCTTAGTTTCTGAAACCCTGTGAGCCATTAGACATTGTGATGCTTGTTAGGAATTTGTGTAACCTTGTGTGGTGCCCTCATCTGTCAACAACAGTATGCAGCTAGATTGGATCAGGCCACTCTCCCTGCTCATGACTTATTTATTATTGTCTATGAGTGTTAAATTAACATTTCATCATCAGTCATATTTCATATCACATTTTGTTAGTTTTTCCCTAAGAATGAATAGGACTACTATATCCTATTTGCTAAACAACTTCTGAACTGTGGTTCTTTCCTGTGTAAGAACACCCTAGTGAGCATGCTCTTTCAAGTGAGGAAAAGCTGTACATTTAGATAGGCCAGTTTTCCACTCATAAATTCTACTAACAAAATTTTACAATGCATCTTTAAGGAAAGGAAATGCGGTCAAATGGCTACTCTTCCATTTTTTAATTATTTTTTTGCAGATAAACCAGTTTCCCTTTTTGTGCTTTTATTTTTAATGTTTTGTAGGAAATTTTTCATTTAGATAATTACCAGTATTAGATAATTACTAGTAAGAACGTCAGTCCCATGATTCTCTGTTTGGACAATATGATACCTTTGCCACATTTTGGGGAACAAATCCATGCATCAATTGACCAATATGCAAAGTGATTTTGAGGCACTTTGATGCCAAGTTGACTTTTTCCACTTTGAATGTGAAAATTTCTTAATCATATTGATCAATGGTTGCATTAATCCTCCATATATATAAGAGGCTAATCTGTGTGTCATTCCGGGAAACTCCTCCTAGACGGATGAACGGATTTTAATAATTGAGGTATCAGTAGAAAGCTAATGACTTGGAGGCGATACTTATTGGGTCCAAAAAATACGCTGCGAACGTTGTTTCTATGGGTCCTCCTGTCTCCACGGAAGGAAAAAACGATGGTTGGAAGAATCTATAGTTTTTTCTACCATGGCGATGTATGCGCAAAATTTTTGATGGGAAATGCCTCATTGGATCAAAACGAGTACAGTACAATACAGCCCGGGCGGGGAAAGAAAGAGGCAGCTTGACCCGCATCATGGGCTTTCGATTTCTTATCTCGATCAATTTCTGGAAATGTTGGGTCTGACTATATGAAAGAAGGAATGAAAAAAAAAAAAACATGTTGGAATCGGAGACAGGAAGTGGGAAAGGAGAGGGAAGAAAGACTGAGAATATTTTTTTCTCTTCTGTTGCAGTCTCCGGCTCGTTCTCATGAGGTGCATGCTCTGAAAGTGGACTGCTCGTTTACTCCTTTCATTTCGAAACGTACATCGGTTAATCCCCCTCTCTATATTCCTGTCTTTAGTGTGGAGGTTTAAGTTTTTTAATTTTTTACTTGCCCTGGGGAATTTTGCCTCTTTACTTAAGGTGAACCCAAAGTGAATTATTTACTCGGACGTCGCTTGAATCTAGGGCTGTGGGGATGTTTCGGCAACCGCCGGTATGGCACCGTCGACAGATTTCCTATCAGCCGGTGCCGATGTCCAAAGAACACGTGTAGAACGAAGAAAAAAAAAACATGTGAAAGAGCTTGGCAACTGATTCTAAATGGCAATAAGAAAAAATTAGGACTGTCCATATGCATCCATCGATGGCATTCAGGGCCGTTTCTAGGGGTGGGCGATAGCCCGGGGCACCTGCGGGAGGAAGGGAAGGGGGGGAGGGGGGGGGGGGCGCCGCTCAAAGAAACACGATAATAAAACAATTTTATTTTATATGGTTAGCGTGGAAGAAAATGCCTTGAATTGATTTTGATTTTTTTTTTTTTTACAAATGTAACAAAATGATTTCCATCAGTTCCGGCTCCCTGTCAACTTCCGGAGGATAAGGCCCAAATCGCCAGAGTTGCGGTGGTGCTTCGCGTTTCAGTTGTTGGTTTGGTGGGGGGGGGGGGGGCCTTGTCCGGTTTGTCCTCTGAACTTCATAACTCGAGGTCTCAGATTGCGCATTCGCTCGCACCCAACCGGAAATTTGATTGCCAACCGACCCACACGACAGGTGCACAGGTCATATCCGAGTCGATCCGCATCCCAGCCAAGCTCAAAATCTTCCCTATTCCACCCGGGCGTTCATAAATTAGAACGACTGGTCTCACTTTGAGGCTACGAAGCAGAATTCGTTGAACATTTGCATACTGGCGATTGGGGTCTCCCAAAGACGGAACGCATCCCCTTATAATTGATTGAAAGCATGTCTGTTTGAAATTCAAAAGTTGTGTCGCTTTAGAATGCTATGAGACGGATCTCACTGGATATTGTTACAAAAGGGAATTTTGGAGTCTCTGATGACGGGAACCAACCTCCCTTTCTTTATCTGATTCCTGAGAGTTCTGAATTCGGTCGGCGTATTTCATTTTAATACTATAGGTGTCATTCGAAAGCTAATAACCTGGTGGCGCTAACAACTAATAACTAAGCTAATAACTATTGGGTCGAAAGTTCAAAAAGTCCTACCATTTTGACGCCATGGGGCCTATTTTCGGCGATAAGAATAGCATTGGACAGAATGCCTTCCCGGGCGAAGTGCTCACAACCAACAACGAGAGTACGAGGCATTGTCGGCTACTGTGGTTGTTGCTATGGCAACTGCTGGCAATGGTCATAGTTGGTCGCGTTGCCAGTCCTGTCGCCAGTTTACGACAGTGCTTCATGTAAGTTTGCAGCATTGAGTTGGTGCTCCAATATTATTATTTCCAATTTTGGTGTTGTCAAAGTGCCATGAAAAAGGTGGAGAAATTTAAACTACTCTATGCGAGATCTACTGATTGTAGGAGAAAGAGAGAAGTTCTGGAGTAAGTCAGTGGATGAAAGTGCATGACGGTGTGCACAATCCTCTGATTAGACTTATTTCAGCTCCGCACACAGGCTTTTATACTGGTCAAGTTAATAACCTAGGAAAGATGACATTCAGAAAACCTTAGCCATTTTTTGTCCCTGTTGGCAATTCAAATCTCCTTATCTCGGCACTATTTTGCCATGTAGATAAGTGATTTAGGTTTACCATCACCTTAACCCAGCTAAATACCAAATTTAGTTTAATTCTGAAACTATTGAGCACAGAACATTGGTGCACTTGCAGAGAAATTATCCACCTGTTATTGTTTATTGGGGTATTGTATGGCTTATGCAAATGTACGGACAAAAACCTAACCTGCATTCCAACACCTTGTTGCTTTCTAATGTCAATTGCTTATCTTATCATGGTAGATCACACATACAGAACTCTGCATATTTTTTTATTGCCATATATTTCTGTCATATAAATGTCCTGGATAAGTGAATGCAAGATAAAGGTCTTCATAATTCTTATGTGTCTTTCCTTCATTAATTTTTCCTCATACTAACAGGTCTTATTGGTATATACTAACCAAATACCCTGTGCTAGGCTTAGGTGCACCTCCTCACCAAGTTGACCCTCTTCAGTGCAACAATTGAAAGATCCTCTCCATTCACTGCTGTTAATGTGAACATAAATTACCAAAACTCCTCTTTGCAGATGAATGGATCGCACTGCATTTAATTTGATTTGATGTGTCAGTTGAACCTTGTGGAAGCATAGTGAGAGCTTCTAATCAGGGTTCATTCTGTTGTGAACTAGTAAACAAAGCTCAAATTCAAAATGATATTCCATAACTTCATGATGACCAATGTTGCCATGACCAGTGTATATCTCAGGAAAAGTTCCCTAATTTTCTCAAGAATCTCATTAAAATTTTCTGCTAATGAGTTTATGTCTTAAATAATAAGTTAGTAATACGAGGAAATATTCCTTGATAGTAATGAACCATCAAAAAGAAATTGGCCATTATGTGTGTAAATACTGAAACCCATCCCTCTTTTTTACTACTCCCTGCTCATATTTTTCTTTTTGTTGTGATTCTGACCTCTAGATCATTTTTACTTCCAGTTGCATTTGGATGATGGAGAGTCCAGTCAGTCTCATTCTCCTAGTCCCAGCAGCAAGGAAAAGGACTTCTTTGAAGAGCATTCTGAATTTCAACCTAAACATGTGAGTCCATTGATGAATCATATTGATCGCTTCAGGAAATGTCAGATTCCAATACTGAATTCCTGACCAAATCCCATGAACATGACTAATGCAGATGAATCAGCACAAGTCAGCTAGGACAGACAAGACCAGCCTTGTCATATAAAAGCGCACATTATCCATTCCTCAAAAGGTGCCCTTAACATTGTTTCTCTCTTCCCTATTTGTGGAGCTGGTTTGTTCCACCAAGCATGATGTCATAGCTTGGTCCTTAATGTGTGGAATTCCTTATTATACAAGGTGAGTCAAAAGTCACATACCATAGTGTGATACGAAGGTCAACCCAGGAACTTGGAAGAGCTCAAACACAATGTGCATAATGAATGTGCAGCAATCATGCCTGTTCCTGCCTCCAGAGGTTGCAATATAAACACCTTTTATTAATTACTACATAACATTTTGTGTATTTTTTTTAATATAGGAGTTCCCCATGGGACATTATTTTTTACTTGTCCTGTATAATAACATTTTAAAGTCTGTGGTATGCCTTTATATTCAACAGCTTATACTTTAATTTCCCTTCAGCCTTGATTCAGGACTTTTTCATCTTTTTGAGCCATATGGGTCTGTCCACAGTGTTGGATGTGACATTCAGAGTAATATGTTTAGTATACAAAATGCATTTAACTATATCATGGATGACAAATCGGCATATAAAGGCACGCTATTTGCTTTAGATATTGACTGAAAATTCCATAATCCAAAATCTTGTCCTGTCTCTTCTTTTTTAGAGGTGTACCTATGTGCAAAGAAAAGTGTCAGACGTGACATTTTGTGAACCCTCAAGTTAAAGTCACTTGCTCTAATGTTCACACATCTGTCATCCAGTGGACCCTAATAATTTAGTTTCGTGTTCATTCTATAGATTGAATGAAAGCCTGGAATAAGTGTAAATCACCCCAAGATTACAACACTTTAAACAAAAAATAAGTCTATTTTGTGATGGTGTTGGATGTGACAGGAGAGTGTTTGATGTGGAATTTCTGAAAATGTATTTTGAAATGATAAGTCTGTACATATATTTTTATTTATTTTAAAGACATCATTCAAATGTGAACAATTGACATCTACTCTTCACACCTGAGCTGATTTGAAATTATCAGTATGCATGGAAAACCCATGCTGGCATCTGTTCCAGTAGTCCAATTCAGTCTCTCCAAATTTGCACTTTCATCCCATTTTTGAGTATCATGAGAATGGTATGAATAATATATCATAATCATGATTAATTCTTTCATTTTTCGATGTAATATTCTCTTTCATTCATGTCTTCTGGAAAAAGAGATGATGAACTTCTGTTGCGAAAGTAATATTTGCATATTGAAAATTTCCGGCTAAAATCCTAGGACCACTTGGTGTGGACAGACCCATATCTAGAAATTGCACATCACTTTTTCCATTTCCCAAGGGCACCCCCAAATATATAAGAGGTTCTTGCTGTGAATGCCCTGAATCATTGGCCTTTTCAGGGGTTGCGTTTACACACAAATGTGCGTCCTATACGCACAAAATTCCAATGGGACACACAAAAGAAAAACACCGGGGTGGGTCCCCAGGACGCACGAGTAATTTGTTTACTCAAGTCGATTTTCAGATCTGTTGGCAGTTTCCTATTTTGAAACATGCCTAAATAGTGACCGTGTTATTGCTAGGGAAGCAAAGAAATTTCTGAGATGGTGTGCGTACGTAAAAAGTGAGGAGCGCAACCTAAGTTGTGATCACGTGCTCATTGACGTACTTCCATTTCTTTTAACTATGGCCTCAGGCAGCTCCAGAACTACTCTCTTCTCTTTCGGTTTCAAGCGGAAAGCTAATGATGTTGGTATTTTCATATTACCGTTTGCATACGTTCAGGCGTTCCTAAAAATAAGCCTAGTGTCACAGAAGATAAGGTAGGAACAGCCTAGGCCTAAACGAAGGTCATATATTCGTTTCACTTAGGATGCCCAGGAAGAGGAAAATTACCTTAGACCATTGCCTAGTCGAAGCAAAGGGAAAGGGATGGATGTGGGGGATGATGAGGAAGTTGAGTAGCATGTTAGCCACGATTCACAACGAAAGAGAAAAGATAGGAAATGGAAAACGGAGTGGGTCAACATGTATCCCTGGCTTTCCTGTAGAGATGGAAGGGCTTTCTGTGATTTCTGCGCTAATGCCAAGAAGAAAAATCCCTACACTGGATCTGGCAGTTGTAATTTGCAGAAGTCGGCCTTTGATAGACATGAGAAAGGCAAGGACCATCAGGAATCCCTCAAAGGAATTAAGATGATTTCTGCACTAATGCCAAGAAGAAAAATCCCTACACTGGATCTGGCAGTTGTAATTTGCAGAAGTCGGCCTTTGATAGACATGAGAAAGGCAAGGACCATCAGGAATCCCACAAAGGAATTAAGCTCCACAAGGATTTCACTAAGGCCACAGAGCATGCCCTTGAAAAGTCAATAGATAATCACCTTGTCATGTTGAGAACAACCTACTGGCTGGCAAAGGGAAATGTTGCCACCAGCAAGTTTTCCTCTTTGATTGCACTCCAGGTTTGTGAACCTCAAGAGTGTGATTTGCTTATCTGGAATCACATGAACTTTCTCAAAATCTTTTATAATCTGCATATATATTTAATTATCTTCTATTAGGCTGTCAATGGATGTCCATCTTTACAGAAAGAAAATGCTACATACAAGCATCATGAAACTTGAAGAGATGCAGGATGCCATCAATACAATCATCATGAGCAGTGTTGATATGGAAATGAAGTCTTCACCATTCATTGGGGTGATACTGGATGAGAGCTGTGATATCACAGTAAAAAAGAAACTTTCTATCTATGTGAGATATATAAAAATGGCATCTGCTATTGTCAGATTTGTTGCTGAAATTGATATGCCAGATGGAAAGGCTGAAACCATTCTTGACTCTCTTTTTTCAAAATTGAGGGAAAAGGGTATTGACACCCTAAAGATAATTGGGCTGGCAACAGATGGAGCTGCAGTAATGATGGGTGCAAGGGGCGGTTTAGGAGCCAGATTGTCTCAAGTGTCACCCTTTCTACTCCATACTCATTGCCTTTGCCACTGACTTGCTCTTGCTGCCAATCAAGCTTCAAAGGAAATAGATGCTTTCAGTGAGTTCCAGCAGCACATAAAAACCCTCTTTATTTTTCTGCATCACCAGTGAGGCTTAGGGAGGCTTGTAAGGTCACAGATCCATTGAACAAAATGCTTTCGCTGAAAAACCCTGTAGAATTTCGGTGGTTAAGCATGCACCAGGCAGCTGAAGCAATTTCCCATGACTGGAAAGGAATCATTGCTACATTAGAAAATGAGGCAGCCTCTGATAAGAGTGAGGCTGGAGCAAAGGCAAAAGGTCTCCTGAAATACTTCAGATCATTCCAATGTATTGGAACAATGGCAGTCTTACTGGATACAATGCCTATTCTCAACAAGATTATCAATATTTTTCAGAGGAATGTATTAGACCCAAAATGCCTCACTCCAATGATCAGGGCTTCATTGGAGAGCTTGACGCATGAAAGATAACAACGAGGATAAGTTCTATTCTGCCTTAAAAGAAATTGATGAAAGTAGAACATATCAAGGATATTTTGTGTCAAAATCTGCCAGAGAAATCAATTCAATGGTTAATGCTAGAAATGCTTTTTATGAAGCACTAGTGAAGAACTTGCAGGAAAGGTTTCCTGAAAAGAGCCTTGGAATTTTGGAGAGCTTGACATTTGTCTTTGATCCAGACATTGTTCCAAATAGCAAAGCAGATGTGCCAGGCCATGGCAAACAGGAGCTGGCAAAGCTGTTGGATTTTTATGGAGCAGAAAGGGAAAGTAAGGATGGACCTGTTTCAGGGCTCATAGATGCAGAACGCTGTAAAGGGGATTATCTGCAATTCAAATTCTTGCTGCAAAGCATGCAAGGGAGGAACATTTTTGATTGCATAAAACTTACCATTCAACAATTCTCTGATGACTTCCCAGACTTTGCTGTTCTTGGGCAGATATTACTGGCAGTTCCCTTGATAAGTGTCGAATGTGAGAGGGGTTTCAGTTTACAAAATTTACTGAGGAATAATTTACGAAGTTGCCTCTCAGATCAACAAATGCACTGTCTAATGACAATAAACTTGAATGGGCCATCACTGGGTGATTTAAATTTGAAGATGCCTTGGGGGTATTTAAGTCACAGAAGAAATGTCAGAAGTAGTCCCAATGCTGCTGGATTGCTGTTTGACTGCTAAATCAGTGAATAAACATGGAATGCTGAACTTGTAATTTTTTTTTTTTTTTTTTTTTTTTTTACAAATTTACAAGATTTAATCATGCTTCATTTGCATTGAGACCCTCAAAACTTTCAGAGGACCCTTTCTTATCAGACCTAAGGGTCCCTGGGACCCCTAAGGCCAGAAGATTAGCGCAACCCCTGGGCCTTTTACTGGAGAGATGAGGTAGGGTAAAGGCACCAGTTTGTGGACAATTTCACGTTTTCTACCATCCAAAGAAAGATACACAGGAAATTCATAATCTTGACTGCTCCATGTTATGCACATGCCAGTCGGCCATCATATAAATTATGTATGCCTATTAGCATTAGTCAACTTAGACATTTTTGCTTCATTTTAGATTTAGCATGTTCAGTGACTGTTCTTAACGGATGTGAACCCTTGTCAAAGTTGTTTGTTGCACAAGAATTGATGTGGGCTTCAAGTAAGATGTTCAGATATGTTGCTAGAAGTTCCTAATTCATATTTCTAACCATGTATGGATGAAAAAGTCTTCTAAAATGACAAACGAGAGGTGTCTACACTCTGAATCCTGGATTCAAGGTTTTGCATCTTTGTAGAGGGTGGCATCCACAAAGGAATCCTTCCTCCAGCTTTTAGAAGACTTTCTTCAGGGTGGAGGCATGCATTCTTTTTATTACACATTTATGAGTCCCCTGTTTGCTCTGATGTTTTTCTTCACTAGATGTATCAATCAATCCATCTCACAGAGGAGAAAAAATACAGAAAACTTACTTGCACTGTATACATATCAGCCATTACCCGATATGGTGTCCACAAAGGAAAAAATTTCAGTTCGAAGATGACTGCTTCTTAAAGTGTTCACAACCTTGACCCATGACCGACAGAAACATTTTCAGATCAATTCATTTACTTTTTATTTTTTCCAACATACCTTTAAAATTCTCAAAACAAAATGCATAGATGGTGATTTACATAATGCACTTAGTGGGATATGTGATGGTAGTCTGTCAATTGGACATGCTGAGAATGGATCTGTGTGATATTGGTCCTTGAGTCTGGATTTAATACACTATGGTGACTTCCAGGAAGGCTTTGATTTTCCTTGGGCATCACTGTGGATGGAGATGAGCATAGTTGACAAAGTATTTTATTTTTAGAAATGGTTCTTGGTATGGTGCTGTGACAGTGGTATGATGAGATGGTGTCCTACGGTTTCCATACTGTAGTGACAGTATGAACATGGGCAATATTCCATGCTTTTCATACCATGGCAAAAATACCATAAAATGTAGAAGGTGTCAGTTTGACTATCATGAGAGCCAAATATCATGGTATGATGAAAATACCAGTATACTGCATTCCCTAGAGACCAATAGGGTACAGCCATTTAAGTTCAGGTGCTCTAATGTACCTTGTTACAAGAGTAAACATTTGATTTTCTTTATAAACAGTTCTTTGCTGCTTGGAAGAACTCTTTTAGAGCACAACCTTTTGAATGCATAGTTTTACAACAATTTACATTATAGGGTCTGAACTTAGGTACTGTCGAAACTTAAATGGTTTTACTCTGCTTGAAGCAAGTTATTATGAAAGGAATGGGGGAAAAGAAAAATAATTGAGTTGACTTCTTCAACTTCGTATATCATAACCTATGTATAGCTACTTACTCCATTGTTAAAACTGTCAATGATAAACCCACTTCTATGTTTCCTAGGAGTCAGAACTAGAGATGAAGGGAGTGAAACCTGCAAATGGAGCCATGCAGATGATGGGAGAAGGTGGAGATGGCCCTCACTTGACTAGTGGTTCACCCTCCTCCGCCATGGGAGGATCTTCTCGAAAAAACATCCTTGGAGGGAAGAAGAAACCTGGAGGACAGGGAGTTAGTCAAATCGAAAATATTGGTTTTTGCTGACGATGCATTTATCGATATTGTAGCATCACTAATACTTTAGGTTCAAGATGCGACAAAAATCCTGAAGCGTAGGTAGAAATTGTAATTCATCTGCTTGGGTGTGAACTGACCTGTATAATGGTATTGGTACAGGAGGTCCTTTAAATAAGTCCTTCCAGAAATTATTTTCAAGTTAGTTATGGTTAATGCTTAGTCATTAGTCATTGTGGGTAAAGGAAGGCTTATAATGAACTATTTATTTTCTGCTAAAATACATTTCTAAACAATGAACCTTATTTCCATACACAGTCATAGGTGGCTTCTCTCCTTCCCCTAAAACTGGTTTCTGCAGTGGAAAGAGAATGTCTGTCATTGCAATATTATGTAGTAATATTTTGGCAGCCTTGCAATACAATTGCTTGTGAGCTGTCAAGGTTTTGTTAACTTTTTGAAGCTGGAATTTCTTATTGGCCAATGTCATTGAGAGAATCATGAGGTATTTATTTCACTATGTCTTGAGGACTTCCCATCTCTGACTCTGAATGAATGAGTGACGTGTGGGTCATTGCAGCTGGGTGGGAAGCGGGGGCTGGGAGCACAGCGAGTGGCTACTGACTTTGATGAAGTGCAGAAGCGAGCTGAGATGCTTGAGGAGAAAGGTGAAGAAGATAAAAAGCGAGTGCAGGAAGCTGTCAAGGAGGCTGAGGATGATCAGATTCATAAGGTGAGAAAATTCTGTGCACATCATGACATTTAGTTGCATCAGTGATGATATTTGTCCTTCAAGTAAAAGATTTTGGGGATCAAGAGAAGGCTGCATTTATGCTGTGACACCATTTGTCCTCTCAAGCATATATTGCATACCAAGGGAAAAACCATCTATCTGTAACTGTGGACAGAGATCTTCATGAAGGCTTCCTGACTTGCATCCAGGGAACAGCTGGACCAATTCATCAGTCTCCTGTTTCTCACTCATTACTATTTGATTTCGTAGTTGATTCCTTCTTACATACTAGGCTTATATGAATTGCTTTATTATGTGAAATCATTTTTGTCTCAAGAGAGCATCAGATCTGGCTTAAAATGGAGACTCTAAAACCTGATTTATATGCCAAAAATCACCTATTTATACCTGAAAGTATGAGGAAAAAACCAAAAAGACATGCAAATCCACATATAAACCAATCCACATATAATCCTTATTCTGAATGGGATGAACAGTTATCAATGGAATGAATGTCAGGTGTTTGTTAAATTGGCTGAAAGAAATTAATAGAAGTGAGACCAATTCATGTATATTCATATTCGAACTAGTCTTGTTTGAAGGGTACTTGAGTCCCTTCTAAATCCTGCATAGGTATGTAAATTTCAGGTCTTGCTAACTAATTTTGGCATGGTATTTCTTATTTATAATTTTATTCCATGGCAATGCTCTATTCAATCTACTCCATTTTTCATGAAACATGGTGGCATCCCTTGGATTGTGTCTAGTTGGCATCCATGCGACTGGCATATGAGACCCTGAGCATGGAACAAGACAAGCAGAAAGCCAAGATGGACCCAAAGAAAGCAGAACAGGCTGAACGGCTTGGCATGGGTCTTGGATTCCGCAGGTACAGCTGCTTCATTGTATTCTTAAATCTGAACTTTGTGTTACCTTACAAACCATGTTTTATTCCTCGTGACATCTCTTATGAAGAAAATAAAATTTATTTACTGGAGTCATCTCATATGAAGCAAGGGGAAGAAAAATTGCCCATATCCAATTCCCATCCTAACATTTTCTTTAGATCTACATTCATTTGCTCACAAATGAACTGTTTCGAAGCTAATATATTGGAGTTCATACAAAGTTGTTTTTTTTTTTTCAAGTCAGTAACAACCAATAACACTGGATGATTTGTGCCAATCATCAAGATGTAATGTATGGATGTTTGGACTGTCATTTTAGTTTTGGCTTCACATATCAGTTTTTTTCCATTGCAGTATGCATTTAAAGGTGAATGCCCAAAACCCCATGGCAAGGTGTCTCCTTGTATTGACTATGATTGGTACAGTTATAATGATCAGATGGATCTGGAGTTAGAGAATAAAATTGTCCATTTGTCTATGGGCTCATCCAAATCAATGCTTCATGTCAAGAGTTCTAGTTTGAAAACTGCATCAACATGATGAGACCTGAATAATCTGTTACAAAAATGGTAGGAGGTCAATTCTATTCCATTTATTGAGCCATTATTAAAAATAGGGTATTGTACACTACTAGATAGATGCAGTCTAGGTTAATCAAATAAATCTATATAATCAGTTTGCTCCAAGAGGGTATGGAGTTCCATGTTGCAGTCCCTCACTCCTTGTAGTTTCTCTCTTTAGGGTTAGAGTGAGAATGTTAAGGACATGGGCCTGGTGCTTGTGAAACCATGAGTAGAGCCACTATCGCCCAGTAAATGATACATGCCTCATGTACATATTGGATCAATGTCATGGACATTGAAAAAAATTATATTTTAGATACAACCAGTCATCAGTTGATGTGAGGAGGCACTTTGGAGGAAGAACTTTTGGCTATCCTCTTTGCATTTCATTTCCAAAGTTTAATTATGAATGAGCAAAGTATATTATATTTATAATAGTGGTGGAGTGAGCCATTCAGCAATGACAGACATGAAGACGATTGATCAGGATGTGCCAACACAGGCAGTGACTGAAGGGAAATCACGAATTCTTGAGGACACACTTTGGAGCCCCCGCACTCAGACCGAGGAGGAAGATGACTTTGTGATTTTATCCAGCACTGGTGCCACTTCTGCCCTTCCATATGCATCAAAGTCAGTCCACTCAAGTACTTACTGAGAAAGTTAGGGCTCTAGATGCCACCGTTGACTCTCAAATTGTTTTTTCATCATTAATATCTGACATTGGAATTACTGAAGAGGCCTAGGTTATTCTTTCTGTCAATAACTCAATTTTGTTGCTTATACCCTTGTGAAAACCATTCCATCAATTGATGAGTGCATTCATTCATTCATTCGTAATCCAGACTGTGACTGAAGGCATTTGGCTTGCATATGGCCTTGAGCGTAGGCCTTGATATAGGCAAAAATTCCATGACATGTCTTCTTTAACTCTCCATGTATGTGACTTGACTCATGACTGAATGCACCCACACTATACACATGAATGGGAAAGGAGAAAGGACCAATACTTGAATTAACTTGCAATTTCCAGAGGAATAAGTATGATGTAACTTTAATTAGGCAGATAAAATACATTTCTTGAGAACCATTTGATTATTAGCTTCAACTTGCACAAATGGAGCAGGAAGCTAATTTGCACTTGCTGAGTCATTCAAAAAAGTTATAACATTTTAATGCAGTAGGTTTTTTTTTGCAAGTGCTGCACCTCATGTCTTTAGAATTCTGCACAGACATATTAATTGGGCCTTTAAGCCCAAGGGCATCCTAAACTTCCTGTGGCCAGTGGTACAGAGTCTTCTTGCTACTTTAGGTTGCATTGCCATCTGTTTTGTTCGAAGAATAATATAGTCATTGTAATTTGCAAAATTAGGTTAATAAAACTGATATGGATTTCCTGATTGCTTTTGCTGATTTATTTTGCATTCACTCAATTCTGGTTTCTCTAGAACAAGTGAAAAACCTAAGTCCAGCTGGGAAAAGGATCTTGAGGAGCGGGCAGAACGGGAAAGAAATGCTGGCTCATCTAGGCGAAGTGAACCAATCACACCTGCTGGGGAAGGTGATGCTGTGAAAAAATTTGCCAATGCCAAATCCATCTCATCGGACCAATTCTTTGGGAACTCCCGTGACCCATCAGAGACGTCAGCCACTTCTCGTTTCTCAGGACAGTCTGCCATCAGCTCAGATGATTACTTTGGCCGAGAGACCAAGGCTAAAGGTGGTTCATCATCTCCTGGGTTCAACATAAATGCACCAGATTTGGATGATGTGAAGGAGAGTGTGCGTGCTGGGGTCACACGTGTTGCTGGCAGGCTTAGCACTATGGCCAATACTGTCATGTCCCAGTTGCAGGTGAGCTGAATGAGAAACATTGAACTTAGTCACTTATGACTCCATAAATAGTTTAATGTTATACAAAACACAGGGATACTTATTTGAGGGAAAAATTTCCCCAGACCCCAGTGCAACTGTCTCTTATTGATTCAATGTCATTCATCCATGGCTACATGTAGAGGATGATGCCAAATGATGGATGGGTCAGAGGATGTGTATAAAAAGTTAGCTGTCATTCCTTATTCTTCATCAGTACAGCATTTATTAATATGGCAGATTTGCTTGCTTGATATTGGTGATGAAATGCCCAAAGGTTCATGGATTTGTACATTGGGGACAGGTGAGTGGCTCAGTTGGCTGCTAATTTGCCCCTTTGAAACCGAGCAAGTCAAGACATTATTTGTGTGTGCAAGTCTCTTTGGAAGAGATGACCTGAGCACATGGCATATTTCCAAAAAAACCACTTAGGCCAAATTGTGTCTCTCAAAATTGAGGTTTGGGTTACTTGGGATAGATGGTATTGGATGAATGGAGATTTTTAGTTTTCCAGAGTCAAGACACAATCATGGGCCCCAAGATTATTTTGTATGATACTCTATTGTATTTTATTGAATGGCGAAGTGTATGCTTCCAACTAAAGCTTAAGGCAATGGCGATTCATGAGAAAATTGGTATATGGGGGAAAGAATTGTGCCCAAAAAATTATTGTAGCTACTTAATGACAATGGCCTATGAGTTCCTTTTGTAAATATTTTTTTCTGGAAACAGTTTTTTTTAGCTTGCTGTAATGAAATATTTTCTATATGCCTTAATTCAGGAGCAATTGTTCCAAGGAATCAACTCCTGTTGGCTGAAATTGGCGATTGCCATGAACTGTACATAGCATTTCTTTGCACAATTGCATCTCCAGATCCCAAAACCTTAGGCACAAAGTTATTCAGTTATTTGGCAATGAGAATGATTGGTGAACTTCTCATCTAGTTTGTCTATGTTCTGCAGCCTTAGTTTAATGCTCCTGCAAGCTTAAACTGGTACCAAAACCATGGTAGTTCTATGCACACATAGTTTCATTATGAATGTGGCATAAGTTGACATAAGCAGATAATAAGAGTAGCTTCCTGGCATGATAATTATCCCATCACCAGGTACTGTAATGGGTACATTTTTAATTTGCTACACTTCAGTTTGCTTTCTTAAGCCTTACATTTCATAAGTTGACTTCAATCCATGAGTTGAATCAATGGCAAGGGTATAAAAACCAATACTGTTGACAGTCTATACCAGATATTGAATTTTTTTGTGAGATCATTGTTCATTTTTGTTGCAGGAAAAATATGGATACTGAAGATGCCCTACAAAGATGTATTGTCTCTCACATCATATGCTGAGTGGATTCTGTGCTTTTATTTCCTTTGGGAGAGGGATTTTGGGTTTACTGTGTACATTCTCATTGCTGTTGTCAGATTATTCCATCCAGAGAAAGGAAAATAAAGAATGCTACTTTTCCATCAGAACAGGATCACAAGTTCTGCTATAGGAAAATTAAATGCCAGAACTCCACCTTAAAGTTCCATTGGCCTCTACCAATCTGTGGAAGTTTCTTCCCCTTTTGTTGTGAAAGTGATGGATAAGAATGCCATTTCATCCATCGTGCTGAAGTTTAAGTTGTGGGGTTTTGCTGAGCTCGTTCACAAATGAAACATTAAGTTTGCATAAGTTGATGTTGACTAAGACCTCCAAAAGACTCATCTGAATCTCTGATTGCTTGAGGAGAATCTCCAGCTTCTTGTCAGTGTAGTGTCAACTTTGTTCCAAAGTTTGCAGGGTCATCTCTCTGAAATTGTTCTAGATTGCTCTCTTGGCAGGTCTTCCTGAGTCAATCATAGGATGAGAGAACTGAGTGGATTTCAAATAAAAGGGTGGCTTCAATATCAAGGCAAACATGTATTTCAGATCTAGCTTTGGTATGTGGTATTAACTGGTCAAGAGTTCATAAGGACACACAAGTTTGAAAGCCATATCAGAGTGCATCATTGGTGGAAAGTGGGCATTAGCCAGAGATGAGAGTCTGGGGCAAATTTATTTGCACTTAAAATATGCCATATCACACTGTCTATTCTTGTACATTACATCAATCTGCAGGAAGCATACTGAGCACCATTTTTCACAGTTCAGGTTTCTATATTTTTTTTAATGAAGAGCATCCATTGGGGGATGATATGAACTGGGACAACAAGTCATGTCTTGATGCCTTCTGCAAGATGAATAATACCCTTAGCCTGGAGGAGCAAGGGCATGTCGATCATCTTCCCGTCAAACACAAATGCTCCCTGAAGATGGGAAGAACATTTAAAAACTTGGAAAATACTTCCTGTTCATTTCTCTCTATTAATAAGGTGAAAATTAATTCAGCACTGGTATACCTATGAACTAGGGGAAAAGAGTCTCAGTGAAGAAATATAAATTAAATAAAAAAGGTATTCCAGTTAGACCAACCTTTCCAAGTTCCTGATTCCGCTGAAACTCCTGAATGAGTCTGGTAGCCCACTGGATCTTGTCTTCTGAAGGTGAAAAAGCATCATGAATGATGGGGATTTGTGATGGGTGGATGGCCTGCTTCCCTGTAAATCCCATTGATGCACCCTCCAATGACTGCCTTCGACATCCCTCCAGGTCTATATGTAGAGTTCCAAACAAAAAAAATGATAGAAGGTATGTTGAAAATAACACTAACTCTGGACCCACATATCTATGCTATTACCAAATATTTTAAAATGTAATGTGCTTAATGTACAAGCAAAGACCCAAGTTCTCAATAGACTTCAAATGTCAAATTCCACCCAAATTCATTATGCCAAAGCATGACTGGGCAATTAATTAGAAGAAATAAAAAAAAAGGACATTCCTCAGTGACATCACCTGCCATCTCCCGAGTTAAATGAGATGGAAATCTGAAGGAAAATCTTTCTTGGTGCATGTTACATTTTTGGTCAATAACTAGAAATTAAGTTAATCCAAACCATTTCTCATAAGGGCCAGTTAAAGAATGAATCTCAGTGAATGAGATGCTTAATGCAGCCTCCACAAATTGTTGCTACAATGCAATGCCGAAGTGGCTTCACTCAACTCGCAGCCCAAAGGCTCTTGTTTATTTTCATTTTCAGACTTGTTTGATTTTTATATATTTTCATTTTTGTAGGAAGAATATGGACAAAATTTATTTACATGTTTGGAGAGGAACCAGCTTGTGCATAGTTCATGAATATATCTTCTTTTATGGTAAAAATGCATGGGTTCCTAAATTTACTTCCACATCCTAAATTCCTAGCCACACAATTTCTCATGCCTTTGACTTAAAAAAAAAAAACTAACACCACCAAGAGAGAGAAAAACTGATTTGTTTTCCCACAAGATAGGAAGTTACTTAAAATTTATTTGATTCAACTAATTTTTTTATTTTTGATACTACTAATATAAACATTTAAGTTTCATGAAAATTCAATCAATTTGAGATTGCCCATTCTCTGTTGCACATGGAGACACAAATGGCAGTCCTCACTTTTATAGTCAATATACACGAGATCAATAGCTTGCAGCCTGAATGCCTTGCAGATGACAACCACACGCTGTCGAGCATAAAGGAGTTCTGAAGCATCATGGGTCCTCACGGCACCAATGTCAGCACAGAAGTCATCAGAGCCAAACACAATGCATTGAGATTCCAGACTGGAAAGATTCTCTGCAACGTGAGCCAGCTCTGGCAAGTCCATCACAGATTTAGCTGACTCAGCCATCCAAATCAATGGCAGTAGTTTTTGCTTCTTTGAATCTCCTCTTCCAGCAAGGGCTTTTGATACCCTGTCATCATACTGCATGATTGGGGGAAAAAAGAAGCAAAATTGCAGAGGCCTTCTCTTTAATGACTTTTTTAATAGCTTTGACACTTTTTGTGAAACTAAGTATGTAGAGTTCAACCAACAAGGTTTATCAGAGTAGACTCCCCAAATTTGGCTGCTCATATCTCATAACTAATAAAGAAATTTAAACAATTTTTAGCACATTCCTCTGACTATTCTTTACTTGCAGTAATAACCTCAGGATGAAATCATTTTTTAACACTTTCTAACTGTTCATCTAGTACATTGAGACATCACTGAATGTGTGATGAAACACTTCCATAGGCATCACCTCAATTTTCCTCTTGATGCATGCTTATACAGGGTCTTTCAAAAGTCATGCAACCCATCTTATACATAATTTTTTTGAGTAACATAAATTGAGTACCTAATTGAAACAGGCTTATATTGGAGGAAATCATCTCACCTGCGGAAAAAATGTCACAGCAAGTATTGGAAGTGACCATTGTGTTCCTGCAAGCACATTATGACACACATGTGCCAAAACATGGTGCATGTTTGCACAAGTAATGCAGGCAATGGCCTGTGGAATGTTTTGCTAAAATGTTTCCAAGTCTCTGGAATTGTCAGCACATACTCTTTCCATAAGGTATCCCAACAGAAGATTGTCAGATCTTGAGCCCATGGCAGCCAGAGATTCTTGCTAATGAGTGGTTGCTCCATCTCATTGGAACCAAGAGTCATGTTCATTGATTTCTAACATGGTGATATATTGCTGAATCCTGTGACAATGAAGTTTAACATTTACAGTTTGTGAAAAACACAGGACCAACAATACATAACTCAAGAGCTGATGTGTATATATTCCAACTGATGTGTATAAATATCTAGAGAGAGAGTAAGAGAAGTTATTTGGTGCTGAAATTGTCTGAAACTATCCAAGGGCAACAGAAAATGCCAAACTTTTGGACCCAGAAGCGCTGAACTTAGAGATGAGAGTCCGAATTATTAAAGACAGCCTGCAGGTATGGGGCAAGGCTAAAGGACGGTAAAAGGGGTCAAAAAGGGGAATGACTAGAACAATTGGAAGAGAGAGTGAGAAATCTCTAATCCTACTTGTTTCGCACGAGTCTCAAGCCATCACATTAACTCCCACTCACGAAATAGTCTCAATCAAAAGCTGGCACCATATTAAACTAGGGAAAATTGATGTAATTCCAATGGAAGTGTTTCATTGTAATTTCAGTGATGTCAAGCACTGATGTGAAGCACTGTCAAGAATATATTGATGTACAAAGTGAACAGTTTGAAGGCTTTTGAAAATCATTACATCCTGCCATTACTGCAAATGAAGTCACAAGAATCTGCTGAAGCTTGTTTTTTATGTTCCTATTCTCATTAGTTCTAGAGTTGAGCTTATTCTGACACACCCTGTATTTCGGACATGTCAGAACACCAAAAACAACCTGAATATCAACTTAGCAGTTGAACTTCTTTTATGGAGGTGAACAAAAAATCTTGGCATTCTCCCTTGGCCTACATACAGAAAAAGCTATGCATTGCCTTGTACAGTAATGACTTTCCTGAGTTCATGTATTACACAGCATCATGCAAAACACCATTTGGGATATGAAAAAAAGAAGTGAGAGGAATAATGCATCAAAATGTTACACAAGGTACATCAAAAACAGTGGAAGACAATGTTTGGGGGAAAAGAGGGATGGTGCCATGGGCCCAGCTGAAATGCCTCTTAGTCCTTTGTCATAATGCTCCTTCATTGGAGTAACTTAGCTTGACATTTTATTTTTCTAAAAAAAAATAAAAATATTTCAGAGCTTTGAGCTTAGGTAACCACTTTTGTGTTATTGTGTACAAGGTGCATGGGAAGTCACTGACCATTTTACTTTTTAAATGAATCACAAACCATATAAGATTGCAGGATTGCTTCAAATAAGAACTCAAAGGACTATACTATACTCTTACGGTTACATTTCACTGTAAAACAATGACAGTCCTCCACATAGTAAGTAAACAAAATCATTGAAAGAACCTCAGGTTACCATTCATAAGGAAGTTAATGACATTCCAGGTCAGATGCAGTATGCGATATATTCAAGCTGAGGAATAAAAAATGCATTGCAAAGAGAGGCATCATATTGAATACGCTTAAGAAGAGAGCTGCCATTAATTTGCAATGAAATGCAAATCTAAGAGTAGCCTCTGAATTCTTATATGAAGAAATCCTGAAATCTCCTATAGTTCATGATTAATTTTAAAAGTAAAAGTGTCTTCTCATGTGCTTTTCATATGTAGATGCAAGTAAAGTTTATACCAGTCTGGAAAATATGAGTGATTGGCTCCATGGTAGGACCATACTTTCCTATTTTGAGACAAATTTGACATCAATACAAGAAGAAATGAAATGCCAGACAAATGCCATTACAATATTTGGTCAACCAGGCTTAGATACCACAGGAGCTTGGATGATACGGTCATGCCCTCTTACCATGGGGTTCCATTGGCTGAGGTTGTAGGTTTGGACAAAGGAATTTCTAGTGTATTATGAACGATTTATTACTGATCTCACATTTTTTAAATATAGGCCAAATTTTTTTTTCCTGGCACACACTCCTTGAGTGTAGAGGCTTACATGCTTTGACTTACAGTTGAGATGATATGTGGTACTGACCCATTTGAGTTCATCAGCCTCATTAACCTTGGGCAGCATGAGGCTATGAGGAAGGTGGGAAGCAGTAAGAGCTGCCTTCAGGTCCTCTTCACACAATCCACTATCAACTGAGTTTGTGCGGACACAACACTCTGACCTCCCAAAGGATCCATGCAAGCCTGTATTCAATACTTCATGGATCATCTCCTGAGCAGCATCCTATTCAACACATTAAAGTCAACATCAGTAATTCCAGTAACATCTATGAATTGACCATGGGCATTGATAAATGAAAGTGGTGGAGAGTAAAGTGCTTACAGAATAAAGCTCTTATTAGTAGGCTATCAAGACTTAGATTTCTTGAGTTTTGAAATTAGGATGAAGATGAAACATAGGATAAATTAGGATGAACACTAGGTCCAAAGATGGGTGGGTATGTGAAGGAAAGACCTACTGATACCTTCTTGTTGGCAGCTACCCCATCTTCACAGTCTAGAACAATACAATCTGCACCAATAGATGCAACTTTCTTGATCTTCCTTTCATCATTTCCTGGCACATAGAGGATAGCTCTTCTTGGAGGTGGTTTCTTTTCCTTTGCTTGGGATGAAGTTGATGAGAATAGCCTAGACTCTCCATGTCCTGGGCCTAAGACCCTACCTGAGCTATCACACAGCTTCCACTGAAGGGTCTTTGTCCACTCCTGCCCAGTGCTAATCAAAGGCCTCAGGCTTATCCTGCAAGCAAGGCCTTGCATCCCTAGAATGATTAAACCTGAAGACACAAATTGCAATTGTACAAAAATTGAATGCTGTACTTCTGCCTAATTATGCTTCTGTATTTAAATGTAGGAAGGTTAAGAGAAAAAAAGGGAGAAGAAATGAAAACTAAAACAAGGGACACAAAAGATTACACAATTAAGAAATCAGGAAAAGATGGAACCTGTATCAGAAACATGGAAAAAGGGATGGCACATCAAAATATAACAGCTCACACAAGTGAAAGGAGAATAATAATAATAAAACATTTTTGAAATAAGAAAATAAATACGTCAGTGGTAAGCCCCCAAAGAACCTGATAATTCATCCTATGTGCTTAGGCTACTCCCTACCATGTCCACCAATTGGAAAACAAGAAGAAAATGTCACTTCCATTTTTTATGTTACTTTTCCTCAAGCAGAAAGATCATTAAGCTAAGAGAGAGCTGGAAAATTCCTAACTTGGAAAGGATGAGATTAAACATAAAAATGTCCCTTCCATATCACATGCAGGGTGAGTCAAAAGTCTGGATACAAAGGGAACTGAGCTCATTATGTGTTTATTGCACTAAATGTTGCAATATGTGTTCTATATGTTGTCCATCGTTCTCCAGACATTTCTGGATTCTTTTTCCAAATTTGCTGTGGACTGGTTCCAAGACATGGGCCTGGATCACATCACAAGCTAAAAAAAAAAAAATACATTGGCCCAACGTATCCAGACTTTTGACTCACCCTGTAGTGCCAACTCACAGAAGAAACCACAAGGTGGGGGGTGTGTGCTTTATGTATAATACCCCCATGGTGGACCCTTTCCATGATAAATAAATATGGGAGTGGTCAGAGATGCACTGAACTCAAGTCAAAATTTGCTGTAACTGAGGCTCTTAGCTATATGTCAGATGATTCATTATTTAAATTGGACTTGTCTTCCCTCAAATCTTTGCTGCACATGCTGCTACAAGCTTTGAATGAATTTCAAATACTGTCTCCTTATGGAGACACTACCATGGAAAGGGTTAAGCAGAACCCAGAGATTATTTATATTGTCCTCATGCTGTAGCATTGGTCATACTTGCTGTGCAAACAAATAGTTATACCTTATAACTTTTATTACTACACTTTTTCTTACCCATGATGAGAGTAATACTTTCATCTGATCTTTTGGTTTGAGATGGGATAAATATGGAATCATTGCCTGCTACTGACCTTAAGTTGTGAGAATATGTTACACTGGGCTCAAGGGTTCATGCCCATTTGAATTAATACTTAAAAGAAAGTTATCCCTAATTAACTAGCAGAACCATGTGGAATGTGACTTCTTCTTACTTGCATAATCACTCATTGGGGCTTATGTCAACATGTATTCTATGGCAAATGATGCTACGTCACCACTAGATTGCTTATTCAATCATTTTCTCCATATTATAGCAATGGAACTTGATTCCTATCATGGCCCAAGACACTTTGGCTTTACATGCAACATGCATGACAAAGCTGTCATTCCATGTGCATTCACATGTAGAGTGCAGTCATTTACCTTCTTTATGTCCAAGGGGTGGCAACTACTGAAAGGGGATCCTTTGTACTCATCACTCATATTGCCTGCTCAAGCAGGCCATATTGCCTCATGCTGTGCAAGTGTTAAGCATGCTGGTTGACAAGCAAACCTCATTCTGTTTAGCCTAGGGGGTGAATGCAACAAAATGGCATGGTCCCACCTTCAGGTCAGTATTGATGCAAATGAAACACCGCACTGTGAGTTTGACAGCCTCCAAGTCCCCAAGGGTAGGCTGACAGAGAGTCCAAAGTGTTAACATTAAAGCTGCTATAAGCTAAAAGTATTCCAGAACACCATAAGTGACAGTTTTCTCTTTCCAACTGCTATTCCCACTCCAGGGCATATTTGCTTATTTTTCATTTTAAATCAATCTTGAATGACTCCTTATATCGCCTTGGAAATATCACTTTTTCCAAAAAGAGAATAAAAGGACAACACACACCAACAGATAGATGCAGGCATGTGGTTACACTAGGGGCAATGATGATGGGGGAGAACAAATTTATGCATGGTGTATATGAAGATGGTCTATAGGAAGAAGAGGTACTACTTTCATGCCCCTACAATGCTATCCAGAGTCAAAATAAATTAACAAATGAGCAATTGAAGCAGACATTTATTCTTCCTAGTAAGAAACAAAAAATGAAAATATTTGCATAAATATAACAGTAATGACATAAATGACAGCAAAAACTCAGGAATAAAAAAAAAATCAAACCAAAGATTAGGGCAAAATCAAGACATTAAAAAACCACAAAGAACAAATGTAACAACACGAAAAAAAAATTACAAAAAACGAAGGCAAGGAAAAAAGCATGAGGCTGGCGCAGTTGAAAAAAATGTGGGGGGTGGGGGGTGTACAGGTTATGATTAAGTACGTATGTACAAATGTACAGGAGCTCTGGGACACTGTTCTGAAGAATTTTACGCGTCCTTTTCCCTTATGCAACTTCTTTTTATTGGGAAGCATGAGCCCCTCTGGCCTCCTAATACACTTCTGGAAGAAAGGAAAAAGAGACAAAGCACACTGTAGGCAAAAATGCCAGCTACAAAAACCTGGCAATTTTTGACCAGTCACTCCTGAGAGTGAAATTTCTTAATATTGACTAGCAAGGTAGGTACGGCTTTTAACATGGGTTTCACTGGCCTAATGTTATTTCCGTCGTCGGACATGTACCTGCATCTCATTGGATTCACCATGAAATAAGGCAATAAACCAGAAACTCTGGTATAAGACGAAAGACTGGAAGAGCCTTACTGTGTTTCGCCATGATAATGTATACAGTGTGGTCAGAGAGTAGGGAACGACATGGATGCACTGGAAACATATTAGATTGATATTTGCGCAGATTTCAGAATTCTGTCGTGCCATTCGTCTTTACAGAAAAAAACTCTGGCTACCTGAGCTATTCTTTCCAACTGCATTGTATTTTTGCCGATGACTGCATTCGCCACGATAGGTGAAACACGCAACAAATTTCAGATGATACCTAGCTTTGAGTTTTTGTTGCATCTTATGGTTTTCCTTATTTCTCTCTTTCTCATCAGAGAGGCCTGGTAGTGACTGCTCAAGCTAGTTGTGAGCAGCCGTTGCCCAGAATGTGATACTTATTGTTCTTCAGTGGTATGGGATTGAACTTTGAGTTTCATGGAGGGAAATTGTTGCAAGATCTCTTCTTCTGGCAACACTGATCTTGAACAAAAACGGATGACCATCGTGGTCGCGGGAATCGAGACTGTGTGTAGCGCCGCAGCGCCGACGCTGCCTTTTGTGTGACCCTAGTGATGACCATCCCTTTCGTAAACGTTGTTCAGTGACAATCAGCGCTGACAGTACTCTCCCTTAATCCTCCGAACATACTGTCCCTTCATTTTTCGTCTTTGTCCCGACAAAACAAAAACTTTGTGCTTAGGCAAGATGGAGTGAGTTTTGTATGAGGTTATGCGAGGCCTAACTTGGCCTTGCGACGGAGAGAGCGAACTACATACCAGGATTGTCAGAAGCCCCTGACCCCTTGGCACCCGAGTAGGACGACCTGGTGAAAAGTAGGCCTTGTCGATTTCAATGCGGCTGTAGGGATTGAAAATATGCATGTCGTGTAAGGGAAATGAATGAGGGTCCAGGGTCGAATATTACATCAGTATTGCACTATTTTTGAATTAAATTTGCACCATCCTTCCTCCATCAGAATGCCTCCATTAATTGCAGGTTGTGACTCCTTCCACAAGTGTGGGCTTTTTTTAATGTCCTCTGCTTAAACAGATCGCTTGAAGTTATTATTTCTCTGTTTCTATTACCTTGAGGGTTACTACTTCTATCTGAAAACAGTATACAGACTTCTGCTATGTTGGAGGTGAAAAAGTAAAAAATTTTTCTTAGGGTATAAGGTAACGAGTATTTGTGCCATTGGTGCTTTCGCTGCACTTTCAACTCATGTATGCTATCTCAGGAGTCAGGGCAGTGGACAAAGCATGTGAGTAAGGATGATTAAAATGAATCAATATCTGGCAAAAACACGTGTCAACATGATAATTCTTTCGTGCAAGACGGGGCAGAAATGGAACCACAAACTGTTGCATGTGGATCTGCATGCCTGTAAAGCTAGTCAGGTGTCTCACTACCTAAGACCCTTGTACAATATCCAGCCATTGATTTTCCTTTTCTTATGTTTGTGAAAAAGTGTTGATGCTTGAATAAAAATAGGTTATCAAACTAAGGTGAAGAACTACAGTAATGGCTAGTACCTGTCATTCAGAGCACCAAATCGGGGGTGCCACGATAGTTTTCTCGACTGAATGTGTATGCGGTTGTTCCTTGCCTCTTGAATCGCAATCGGTGCGTCTTTGTAGGATGTTGCACCATAGTGTATGGGTGAATGTCCAAGTAGACTGTTATGTTGTAGAACCATATGTATCCATGGTTCTTTTGCCATTTTTGAACAATGCATCTACTTTTAGATGCATGGAATGCTACCTTCAACTGCCATGCATAAGGTAATAGTGGTGGAAGTGAATGTGTCACTTGAAAGGTAGTATCTTTGTGTGATTTGAATTTGTGTTTGATTTGGATAATGAGCCACAAAGGTTATACTAGGTTTCCCACTTGAAAGTAGTCCAGCAAGTTGAGTTGTGCAGTACCACTATAACTATCACAACTATGGTGAGGAGACGGCCTCCAACAGCAAACAAGACAGAATGACTTGCTGGGCTACTTTCAAGTGGGACACCCTGTAGTTTCCAAGGAACATGAGCACAAAGGAGTCAGTGGCAAGTTGATTATCCATGCTCTGGGTTGTTGGCTGTTTGTTCATCATATAGCCAAACCATATGGAATTCTATGAACTTCATTCAGCTGTTCACTAGGAATGACATTTTATTATTATTATTTTACTGGTGATAGTTATCTTATATCATGATAATAGTCTGTAATAACATTCCCTGACATCATTTGGAACAGAGATTTTGCTAAATGAAATTACTAACTTTGTGGTGCCTTCTTCAAGGTGAATGCAAAATTCAGATATACAAAGTTGCAGCACTTGAAAAGAGGCACTCATTTCTGCAGCTGTCATGTTTCTTTTTCGACAACAGTGTTTAACATATTGCATGGTGGTATGCTACTCAAATGTGGCAAATATTCCAGAGACAAGCTCTTGATGAAACATACCAATATGCATGCTGCATTTATTGTTCAGACATAAGGCACCCAGTCCACAATCTGTTTAATATTCCCATGTTATGGTTAATTATGCAGCTGAAGTGAATTAATTGTTTCAAGTGTTTATTCCCTGATTTATGTAGGTATTTTATCTAGGATCTGTATAGGTCATTTGACTTCAAGACTTCAATACTATTTGTGAAGAGCGCCATTAGTGATTCCTTTTGTCCTCTAAAAAGTGAGTCCATTTCCTATGAATACCAACTCCACATCATTCAGTGACAGAGAGTGGCATTCCCAACTCATTTTATTATTATGTTTTATGGCTGTGGTGTGATCCCTCTCATGACTTCAAAAAATACTCTACATCTGAAGATCAGCTAATGATTGTTAAACCTTCAGTTCCAAAATGCCAAAACATGCCTCAGGTTTAAAGTGTGAAAATGAAATTTTTATCTGATAGAGCTAAGTGCAGTTGGGATGAGATATCCAGTTTTCTTATCCTGTTGTGTTAATTTCAGAAATTAATTCTCTCTTAACATTAAGAAAAGTGCTTTAGTTATATCAAATGTGACGTCTAGTAAATTGCTGGAGGGATTTTGGTCTCTTTCTGCAATCAATTGGGCATTCTATATTTCAGGAAAGACATGAACAGTGATATGTCTAAGAAATGAATCCTAGAGAACTCTGAAAAATGCCTCAGTTTTCAGAATTCAGTGACTAATTACAAGCCATAAAACTCCCTATCATTTTTGGAGAGCATATCACAAGTGCTGTTGAATTAGCTCAAGAATGGCAGTGTTAGGGACACATTTAGTTCAGAACTATGTCCTCTTGGAATTGTAAACATTTTTCACAAATCTTGTGAGACTGTATAATTATCATAATAGAAGCCAAATAAATAGAATTGCAGCCAAAGTTCATTCATCTTAGGTGAGGTTGACCCCCTCTTTTTCATTGTTTTAATCCCAACTTCCAAAAGCATAAACCCATTTTGCACACTCTCCTTTGTTGATATTTAAATATTCATTTCTTCAAGTCTATTTAGATTTTAAGACTCATCTGGTATCTCATCATGATTTGACCATTCCAAAGAAGAGAAGCTCCCGTTTTCCTTTATTTAGGAAGTGCATGAAAGGGGCACAGGAAGACACAAGTGTATATTGAAAGTATCTATTAAATGGTTTCTGGATACTAGTCAGTTTTGCATTTGGTACTAGCACTCTAAACTTCAAAGTCATTATGTATTTCTTTGCAACTCCCATGGAGGGTAAGACAATGCAATAAAATTTACCATCAGCCACTTGAAGTGTGCCAGGTTCTCTCTTATACTACTAGTTTAGGAATGATATCCTATGAAAATTAGCTTGTGTGCTGTGTGTAGCAATCATCGGGAACACATAAAAACAGCCTTGTTGCTGTTTTCAGTCTCAGTGAGTGCATCAAGGCCAAATTAAATTGTTGAATTTTGGCAAATCATGCCCTGCACCACATTTATGGGATTTTTGCAGTTATGTGCTTTGGCAACTAACAACAGTTATGATAGATGTTAATGTTATCTTTACCTGTTATCTCATTCCAAATTTTGGCTTATTTTGACTTTGCTTTTAATGTCTCAGTGTCTAATGGTAATGCTGAAGTGGATGGAACTGAAGTTGCAAAGGGAGGAATGAAGTACGAAGTGATCATAGCCGAGGCTGGATCTCCAGCTCCCAGAGTCTTGCAAGAGCTTTTGAGTCCAAAGCATGACATCTCTCTTGAGGACATCGAACGGAAGCTCCAGCGGGCAGAAGAACGAAGGAATGTGAGTAATTCTTGTTTATATTGTCTTTGGTTGTTGCGGTATGCTGCATGCAATTAAAGCATGCTTTGATGAAAAATATCTGCGAGTGGAAGTGGATAGCATTTGCAAAACTAATTCTAACAAGAAGAGGAAGTTTTTATAATGGCAAATGAGGCACATTTCTTGCAAAAGTGAACTGTCTTACAAAGTCTTTGGTTCTGTATGTCTAGCTTTAGATAGGGAGAGAACCCCAAATATTGTGGTATATATACAGCTATGTACAAAAGAAACTCTCATGCCTGCAGACCCCTATGAAACTTATTTCAGCTTTCAAAAGGAACAACACAATAATGTTTAATTTTTTCAGATGATCCAAAAATTGAGTAGTGTCATACAAATCCTATAGTTGTATATTAAGGAGATTCATATTATAGTGGGAACTGCTGAGTATTTAACAATGGTCTGGTTCTCCTCACCACTACAGATGCAAACCAGACTGTACAAAAATTAAAAGAGTTGTGTAATTAACACATGCACATCAACCATTATCCTCCCTTCCCCCGATACACATGCCCTTCTCTGGTTCTGAAGGTTAACCCATTCACATCCTTTGACATACTGGTATGTGGTCTCATGGGCAATACCACCACAGACATTCGATAAGTACAATTTTTTTTACATTTTAGCATAAATGATACTTGAGTGGGGGGTGTAAATTTTAAATTCCTTGTAAAAGTGACTGGTGAGCAAGTGTATTTAAGCAGATGGATGTGAATGGCTTTATGAGAGTTGAGAATCATGGTATATTTAAAATATACAGGGTGGGCCAAAAAAAAATACAAAGCTGTCATTCTTAGTGAGTTGTAAATTTGATTGCAGGTTGCCATTCTGATTAAATTTGGTAAGCTCATAGGTTGACTCAATTAAAGGTTGTGTCAAGTTTCAAATCATAATTACAAAAACTTTGAGAATGGCATTTAGTTTACTTTTGGTCACCAAAAATGGAAGTGCTAAGTTTTTCATTAAACTTAAATTTCTCACAACCAGCAAAAACAAACTAGCAAACAAACAGAATGAAAGCAAAAATGCACACATACCAAAAACAAGGACACATTTTGGTTTAAGTCAGTTCATTTAAACTGAAAAGGTGCTCAATGTGCCCTCCATTTTGTTGAACGCAAGCCTTTAGTCTGGCATGCCACAGGTCAATGGCTTGGTCAGTACATCTTTGAGGCAGCACTTCCCAAGTTTCCTCTATACCATCATGCGGGGATGGAAGGTCATGAATTTGGTCCTCCCATTCATCCCAATCTCAAGTTCATATTGATGTTTTTGACAGCATATTTTCTAATTATTATACATTGTTAATATACATTGATTGTATTGAATCAAGGCCACAATGAATGATACTCTTGACTGCCCAAATAAATGCACTAGGAAGGGGGAGACCACTTTTTTTTTTCATATGAGACATGAAGACCCTAGATTTCTTTTTCATATTTATACAGAGCCTCTTGGCTGAGAAGGAAGCTGCCATTCAAGCCAAGTGGAGTCATATCCAAGAAGCAAGTGAAAAGCGTGCAGAGAGTGAGGCCAAGTTTATCGAGTCCACAAAGACCCAGTTGGAGCAGAAGATGGAGAGTGTTGAGACCAACCGTGCCAGTCTCATCACCAGCATCAAGGCCAAAGTCAAGGAGGAAGTAGGTGTTAATGGTGCCTTTTCCCCTATACATGTTAAATCTCATTACAATGAAATTCATTGTAATGAGATCTACTATCCAGCTCTGTAGTGCTCTTGGCTCGTTTAAAGAAACACTCATTTAGTTTTTTTTATGCATTCAGAATCAGCTTGGGTTAACTCTCTGAAGTTTCATCGCAGGATTTAGTAGTAATGGGCAAAATAACGTTCTAATTCCAGCAATTTAATTGCAATTGAGCTTGTTTCTTTTTTTTTCTTTTAAGCAGACAATGAAAACAGGAAATAAAGTGAGACAGTTGCTTAAACCCTTTAGTTGCTCCAAAGCAATAGGAGGAAAAATGTCACCAAGGTCCTCTAATGACTGCTTTAATAAAAAAGAAAGTTGCCTGTTTATATGCCCTTTGATAGATACCTTGCATTTAGAATCTGGTTTGCAACTTTGATTTCAACTACTAATTATTAGAGTAAATTTTTGGAGTGGCTGCATACTCATGAGGCCATTAGATATTGGATTGGGGGCTATTATTGATTAATCCAGATTGTGATGGCAGCAGTATTTTTTGACAAGAAATATTCAAATAAGTTTGTGATTCTATTTTATGTGAATTTTATGTGATTATGTCCAAAAATTTTTTATGGCTGGCTGAGACATAAGAAATGCTTCAATGTTTAGCCATGAATCTGATGGCACTAAAAGTGTTCTTTTTTATTGTGCTTATCTACCTTACAAACACCTTACCATTTTCATCAATTTTTTCTGGAGCCATTTTACCCCACCAATGATTATACAAAAGAAATTGAAATTCATTCCTGCAATCAAGCAGCAGCATTGACACAAACTACAGCACTGAATAGGAGTGACTTTGAAGGCTTTTCTCTTTCTCAACTTAAGAATCTACATAATAGATCTTTCTTACTAACCCTAGTATCTATGGAAATTTGCTGATGAGAATTACAATCTTGAGAAATAATGGTATCCATATGAACAATTTCCTTCTGTTTTAGCCAATTCAAATTACTGGCTCCTTCTCATCCTTTCTTATGGATAAGTTCTCTCAAAAAACTGTGCAAACTGCACATGTGAACCACTTTCCCCATCAATCCTTTTCCTAGCAAGATATTAAAATTTGAGTTTTTTTTCCCTTGTGAGGTGAAACAGCTGCAGAGAAGTGGGCAGGAATTCTAGGATGTTCATAGGTTAGAAAAGAGTAATGACAAAATAAATATTTATTCTGCTATCTCATAAGCACTATAATTTGAGAGTGGCATGTAAGTCCCTAAAATATCCATGTTTGGGTTGACTTGATCACCTCAAGTGAAGAACTGACTTTGCTTTATTGTCCATTTTCTACCTCTGCAGATGGAAAAAGTCGAAGCAGCACGTCAAAGCAAGGAGAAAGGTCACTCGGATGCATCCCCAAGCTGCTAAATTCTCTTGCCTTCATCTCATGTACATACAACACTGTCATTGCTCAATTTTCCTCCCTGAGTTTTCAAAGTATTGCCCATTTTTCATCTTTTTTAAGGCTTAGACCTTGGCTGATGAAACATCTTTTATGTGCCTCCCATCTTTTATTTTTTTCTTATGCTCCCAAGTGCCATTTCAATTCAGGTCTTTCCTTGTGAAATCATGAGTCTCAGCATTTCCATGAATCTCAAATAAAATTGCAGGGTTGCAAGCATGTCTCTTGTTTTTTACTTGTACTCTACAGGATGTTCTGAAAATTTCTGACTCACCCACACAAAGTGTGGGTAAATGCTATGCCAGTTACTGTGAGAATATCCTGCTAATCTAAGCGGATTACATGAAGTTCTGGGCGATCTGCTCAGACCAAGAAAAGGACGTGCTGATGCAGGACAGGCTCCATGCTACACAGCTGAATTCCACATCATTGAAGAGACAGAAGAAGAGTACAGGTTGAGAGGAAACCACCAAGAAACTGCCAGTTATAAGATGAGCAAGCAGTCTGTGCTTTCAAAGAGTCGGCATGAAGGAAAGGAAAACTTTCCATATCTGTCGAACTGCGGTGTACTGACTGGTTCTCCCCGTTTTCACACTTCTATCGTATTCAAGAGGTCAAAATGTGAAGCGGGCGAAGAGGTGCTGGTTGGTAGTTTGCAGTAAGGAATTGCAGAAGAAAAACTGAAGATAGAGATTTAAATTTTTCATTAACTAAGGAGTCACATTTCCTGCATTATCATACATGTGTAGCGCACCAGCATACAATTGCCTTTCATTTGGCTATTGCCCAAGGAGGGGTTGAAATTAAATGCTACTTCTCTTCCGATACGTGGCCCATTACCTTCAATGTAGAGAAGGTGACACCTACAAGGGAGAACAAATGAGTGGCCTTATGATGAGCTTTGTCAACGTTTTAGTAACAGTCTTCCGGTCTTTGGCCACTCAGCGTCCTAGTTTGCCGTGACTTGGACTGCCGAAAGAAGCACTAGATAAACTCAACTTGGAGTCTCCGAAGGAGGGAGGGAAGTGAGTGTTGCAGACTTCGTTGCTTCTGCTAGGCACCGGACTGGAGTCCCGTTTAGCAAATCCAAACCTTTTTACTCTGTTGGCCCCGATGGGGCGTAAATGCTGGTTGGAGCCGGGAGGAACTCATAAAAATAACAATGACGAAATCGGAATGTGAGCACGTGGAAGGTCGGATGTCAACCCTTTCCGATTTCGTTGCATTAACGACGATTGCCACTGATCAGGAGACAATGCGTGAACAGTGCTACATTGTCCTTTCTGAGAACTTCGGATAGCCATTCGCGAGCGGAAGCTGTCACATTCGCTAAGTTGTGCTGAGCGATTTTAGCTAAATTCTTTTCTTGCGCTTGACTCCATATGTTGGAAATTAATCTGTGTTGTATGTAGAGTTGCAGACTAGAAAAAACTGTATTTATGAAACCAGATCCGCATAAGAATCCTTGTCTGCGGCTCTTGATACCAAATCCTATCGCATTTTTGCGATGGTAAGACAGTTTGTCGTAATTACCCAGTACCACACAATAGCCCATCGTACTTGTAGTACAGGGTGATTTTTTATTCGTCGGACCATTATACATATGTATCATCTTGGGACAAATGAAGTCAAGTACATGAAATCAACTCACCGTTGTGGATATCAGGGAATCTGCTAGACAGCATTCTGGTGCTGAAGTTATCGTGCAGGAAGTCTAACATAACGTTCGCTGTGTTGGCATGGCCACCATTGTCCCCAATCTCATTCCATGTGATTATCTCCTCTGGGGACACCTAAAGAACAAAGTTTTCGAGTTAAAACTAAGGCTGTCACGATAGCAGTTTTCAAAACATCGATGCATCGACCTAAACTATCGATAGTGTATCGATGCATCGGGGGGGGG